GAACGAATCCTTTTAGTTTGGTTTTGTACAGAAGTTGAGCGCAAAAGCACGAACACACATGTCTTTACGGATATGAATCTCCAAAGCTGGTCGGGACCTGTATGAACGGTTGACGCTGGCTCGTGCGTCTGTTGTAGTGTCGCGCGAACTCTCTCACCTGCCATGTCATAGGCGTGACGCCTTCATGTGATCCTCGTAACGTTTGGTTTTCAACTTTTTAGGAAATGCCATTTTAAATGCAACACAGTTTTTAATTATCATAATTATATGGGCTATCTTAATTTAATAAATAAATAAATAGTGCCGATAAAATAATAAATCTTAGTCACACAAACTACGCCTATTATCACAAATTTTACTAATTTGTTGAATTGATGAATAATTGAAGACAATATCAGACATATATGTGTGTTTTTTATCGTTAAAGATGTTATAATATTCAATCAAACCATATCCAAATGAGTAAATACTAATCTCACAATAACAATTTTTTCTTAAAAACGTCACAGACTTACAATATATGTAGTTTATTGTTGAAGAAATCAAAGTATTAACAAATAAAAGAAGTCAAAGAACAAAAAAAAAAATTGCAAATCCATGAAGAAATTTGGAAATTTTAATTTGAACAGCTACTACCCTCTAGTGGCGTGATAGAATATTGCACATTTTAGATCAGCTACCCTGCGGATATATTTCGAGATAATCCGCCAGAAAATATATTTTTATTTTACATACATTTCATATAATAAATTACTCAAACTCTGTATATCTAAGGAAACTCGCCCGCCCCACAGTAGATGTGTTCATTTTTTATCATTATAGGCAATTCAAAGGAGGCAACAATTTAACTTAAAAGACCTGTTAACGTTACTTTCACTTTTATTTCAAACCAAATATACAAATTACAGAATTTACCCCGGCATCAGTGGGCTAACACGTCATTCACTTTGTCAATAAATGGGTTGAAAATGTTTCAAAATCTTTCTTTAATTTTCTTTTCATTACATCATGAAAAAAGACAACCGGAAATAAATGTTTTTCTATTTTCCTCATTTTATAATCATGTACCAAAATAACCTACCTGAATAACCAGCAGGGGGCGCCAAAGCCCAAATATGTAAGACTACAATTAGTAACCCAAATAAATTTTGTTTTGAATGTTTCACTTTAACAATTAGAATAAAATAAAAACAACCGTATTTTGAATGAAAGTCACACCGGTCATTTAGAGGATAGTTTACAATAAAAATGTCAATAAACATGAGGATAAAGGATAAGAACAGCATGTTCTTTTCAATTAAGTTGTACAGAAAGAACAGCTTTAGAAAATATAATGAAAAATGATAAAAACGGAATATATTTATATAAAAACGTGAACTGGTCTTAGATCGTCGTAAACGTATTATCAGAATAAATCATAATGTTATTAAGCGGGGGCCAGCTCGTGCTGTAAGGCTTCCTAAGTGGTTTGTTTGCGGTGTGTTTTCCATAACACGCTCTCACACAACTGGTCTCCGCATTCCGTTCCTACTTAACGCTCATTGGCCGATTATCACGCCCGTCATATTTTTCCAGCCAAGTGTGACGTCTGATTGGCTGGAGCGCCACCTACGAGGCCAAAGCGAACGCCATTGGATGAAAAACTAGGTTAGTGGTTCGACAGTCATGACGGTGAAGAGAAACTGGGTCACTGATTGAAAATCGTTTATGTCACAGTTCTATGTGTTGCTATTACATATTACCATCACATTTGAATGGATCTACGGATTTTGTGGAATATTCTGTAAGTATAAAACGACTTTAAGTCTGTATTTTGCTAATGGGATAGCTTTGTCTGTGGTTTTTAATCCCTGATAGATCGTCATGGATATTTTCCCAGCACTCTGGTCCAGTCTGGTTTTGTGGAGCGCGAGGACGAATGCTAGCTCAGCGGCCAAGTCTTGACAGTTCGCGTTCCGTAGCTAGCTGCTGTGAGCTAATATTAGCGAGCTAGACATTTTTTTAATGAAAGATGGAAGCAACGCACTCAGTCTGTCGGCATAGTTTAAATTATTTCCAGCGAGCACCGGAGCTAGAAAGTGCCCGGGGCTTGGGTAAATGCCGGGTTGCTAAACGTTAACCAGACGTGACCTAAGTGCTAACAGGCTAGCAATGGAGACAGGCCTTCACAGGTATCTGGAACAGTTTCTTCGAGAGCACCAATCCTGCCGCGATAACTTCTGAGCCTCCCTCCTATATCTGTACAAATCTTGTCACCGTGGGGATGTGAAACGCATGGGGACGTTCACCGAGCTGCTTAACAACACGAGGGTCATGTTTTTGGTTATAAAACATCAAGACACTGACAGTGGAAATGTGGTCCACCGCTCGTTTTCCACACACTCCGCGGTGGTTGCTCCAAGATGCTCACAGTTTTGCTGACACACACACACACACACACACACACACACACACACACACACACACACACACACACACACACACTGTCTCGGTATTAGTACCTATATCACTTTTTTGAAGTAATAAGTACCATATTTTGATTTATTTGGCTTTAAGCATCTCTTTGGTAGACACATCTGGCTTTTATTCATGGTGTAAATATTAGTATATGTGCAAACCTTATTTTAATATTTCATGAACTCTGGAACTGCGCTGCTCTGGGTGGCTGCATGTTGGAGTAGCTCTGTTGACTTTATGTAAGTTTTGCCTTTTCTTGGGCATTTTTTCTTCTAGTTTCTCAAGAAAAACTGTATTTTTTGGACACTTTACCTTTCTGTTTCTGGTGCTGTGAAGCTTGGAGGATTTTTACTGCTATTTTTTAGCTTTTTTCACTTTATGAGCATTTGTTATGATGCGTAACCATGGCAACGAGCTGTTTTACAATCGGGAGCAGCTGATTAACATTGGAAAGGCTGAAATAATACCTCAACTGAAGCCACAAATCCAAAATGATCTAAAACGCAAGAAGCATGGGTGCAGAGCGGGAGCTAAACGGAGACAGAGAAAGAGGAAATTCAAACCATCTCTTCCATCGATCATAACGGGCAATGTGAGATCACTGGCCAACAAGACGGAGGAACTCCAAGCCCTTTCAAGGACTCAGCCAGAGTTTCTGCAGTTTCGGAACCGCTGGAGGAGATAATGCAAAGAAGGATTCTCCAGAGAATCAAGAAAATGATGGACAACCCTGAGCATTCTCTTCACAAGACTGTCCGACAACGGAAGAGTGTCTTCAGTCAGAGGCTTCTTCAGTTTGGCTGCAACACTGACCGCTACTGGAGATCCTTCCTGCCAACAGCCATTGTAATATACAACAACTCTTTGATGACTTGATTATTATTATTATTCTGAGCTACTACAGCAATCAGTTTCCCTCTGGGATTAATAAAGTAGTTTTGAATTGAATTGAATGTTTAATTTTAGTAATCTACCAATATTTGGGTGCTTTCAGTTTTATGAACAATTTTGTTTGGAGAAAATGCACCAAAGAGACAATACTCCCTAAATTTCTTGACAAGTGGTAACCCACCACAGTTATCAGTATCGATGCGCTGCCACGAAAGCTATGAGATAACAGAAACAGTTGTGATGATGGAGCAAAGCTGCTAATCAAGGAGACACTTTTTCATGTCAAAAATCAAAGCTGTCATAAAAGTAAGTAGGGCAGAGGTTAGAGAGGTGGGAAAACTTACAAGATGTGGTTAGCCTGTCCGCCTCATTGTATTAGTTATAATTATGGAAAGCTTTCAACATCTCAAGCAGAGTGAGTCATGCAGAAAGCCTTGTGGAGTGCACTTATGTGGGGCTGTAAGAAAAGTAACCTTTTATCAGTTTATTTGTGCAAATTTAGTTTGAGCAATGGCTCTCAGTGATGTGCTTGACATTTGTGCATCATGGTGCTTTAATTGTCAAGATGCATGGTGTTTCCCAACCCTGGTCCTCAGGGCACACTGTCCTATATGTTTTCCCATGTCTCTGCTTCAGCACACCAGATTTACATTGGCTCCTCAGGAGGACATCAAGCACTGCAGAGGCCTGTTAGTCACTTATTCATCTAAGCCAGGTGTGTGGCAGCAGGGTGTTTAAAAGGGCAACACAGAAAACATGCAAGACGGTGTGTCCTGAGGACCAGAGTAACCACTGGTGGAGACCAGACCTGAAAACCACTGATTCAAGCGGTGTGGAGAACACAAGGTTCAAACAATCTGGTCTTGAGAGCAGGAACTGACTTCAGATTCAGGATTTAGATTTTATTCCAAGCACCCTCCTGGACCCTCACTGATTCAGTAACTGGATCAGCATCTTCTGGGGCCTTTTGACTCTGGAACTGTTTGGTGGCTCTCGGGTCTTCTTCACTGAAGACATGCTGGATGCCCAAAGGGCGCATTGCTGCCACAGCAACCATTTCTCGACAGCCACTCCCTTCACAGCCTCTCGTACACCCCTACAGCACGAGGAAAACGTAGCAGTGCCCCAATCACGACCCGATCAGGCACCGCCAACAGGGCCTGCCAGCCGAACACGACCGTCCCTGTAGCCTCTAGACAGCCAAACAAGGACCTCCTCTCCTCCACAAACAACCGGCACCACAACAGGACATGATCCACGGTCTCCTGTTCCCCACAAGCTCAGCAGCCGTCAGGATGCCTCCCCACCAAAAACAAACTTGCCTTCAGGCAACTGGCCCAGCCTCAACCTAGTTAAAACCACCAAGTCCCTTCGTCTACACACGAGTCAACCCACCAACCCCCACCCGGCTCCGGCTCTCAGATCTGATCCATACCTCTCATCTTGACAGCACGACTCAGCACAAAGGGACGTTGGAGCCAGATTTTAGGATGAGGATAGGTGATCCGGATCAGCTAATCAGAGGAAGTGGGAGGAGACAGTGATTGACAATGAGCAGCACCTGGAGTGCTGCAGCTGGGCAGGTTGAGGGCCGAATCAAGATATTTATTTTCAATGTTTTAACCAGAATATCCCAGTTGAATGAAAATTAAATGCTTAATTTCTTTGTCGCATCTGCCTGTCGCTGCAAGAGATTGTTTCTCAGTCTTTGTTTTCTAGTCAGTTTAGTGATTCAAGTCACTGATTGCTGCCCGAGGTCAGTCCATATGCAACAGTAACTGGAGACTTTTAAAGTTTTGAAACCCAATATAATTTCATGCACTCATCAGAACAACGCTCTCAAGATGAAATTTACTCGTTTAAAACTTTAAGCATTCGTCTGAAAACAATCTTCTCTCAGCTAAACTGGATCACAGCTGAAAATGGGTTTCTGACTCACAGCAAAAAGCAGATTTTAGCGTCGTCATCACCGAAAACCTGAAAAAGACGGAGCAGGTTCTGCCAGACTAGCGAAAGGTTCAGAGAGGGTAATCAAATCGATTCCTTACCTCAGAGTTCTCCATCTTTGATCTGCTTTTTTCTGCACTGATAATTTAGCTTCATACAAAAGCTCGACACCACTTTTGCTACGAGTTATGCAGATTTATTAAAAGAGAGAAAGAAATGTGTTTACTTCTGTTTAGTATTAATTAACACAATTTTATACCAATAAATGAGGAGTTTGGATGCAGATTTGTTGTTTATTTTTTACTTTTCTTTTTTTCAGAGCCTAACTAAGTCTTTTTTTTAATTAATTTTTAGTCCGTATGCTGTCATTTACTGCAGACGGGTCGCCATTTCATTCTACCTAACCTCCAAAAGTCAGACTATGCATCTAAACATGTTTCAGACACATCCAGATACATCAGCTGCTGTTGTATTAGTAAATCACTTCCTTTAATTCTTCTCAAATAGCCCAAAAGACTGCAGTTTAGAGGTGAGATGCCCTTTTTTGCTGAGAACTAGTCTTCAACTTTTTTCAGTCCAACACCAATTAGACAATAACTGTTAAGTGGTACAGCCGCAAGTCTATCCAGAAAGGAGGTTAATGACTGACTACTTCTTGCATAAGTAATAAAATCTAAGTTCTGCCAAGTCAGAACAAGACAGGAAGTTGGTCTGATGGGTGCTACCTGATAAGAGACGTAAAGGCCAGTTATTAGCTATAAGCTTTTGCTGAGCAAGTCGAACATCCTGTTGCCTTATAAACATACATACGAGGGGCGACGGTGGCACAGGAGTTAAGTGTTCGCCCCGTAATCTGAAGGTTGCAGGTTCGAGCCCCGCTCAGTCTGTCGCTGTCGTTGTGCCCTTGGGCAAGAGACTTAACCCACGTTGCCTGCTGGTGGTGGTCGGAGGGGCCGGTGGCGCCAGTGCTCTGCAGCCTCGCCTCTTGTCAGTGCGCCCCAGGGCAGCTGTGGCTACATCGTAGCTCACCCCCACCCGTGTGTGAATGGGTGAATGCCTGATTGTGTTGTAAAGCACCTTGGGGGGATTCCAGGACTCTAGAAGTTGCTAAATCAAATACAGGCCATTTACCATTTACTGTTATAGAAGAAACTCCGGTGTGTAACTCAGGAGATGTGGCAGGTTTGATTTATGGTTTACCTGACAAGGTTAAATGTTTAAAATGTCATCAGTAATCCGGTTGTTGGACCAGTGATGACTAATGTTTTTGCCTGAGTGTAACATGTTTCAAAACTAATGTTTGTCCTTTTTTTTTGGCAAAATACAATCTGTTTGTTGCTGTAAAACTAAGAATGAGAGATCCACTTAAAGAGCAAGTCACCCCAAATCAGCTTTTTTTCCCCTGATAAACTATATAAATGCGTGTCTAATCGTGCTGCAGACACGTGTCGTCAATAGTTTTGCACTTTAGTGCATTTTTGTTAAAATTTGAATTTTCTGCCTAAAACTGTCAGTGTTGTGCCGTTGTCAGGTAAAAACTCTGCACTGCATTTGAATTTAAATCTGCCATCGCTATTGGCTAAGAGGTACCCTAGAATGTTAGCTGGTACCATATGATGTCACAATGTCATTGTGAGCCTGTGTGTGTGTATTTGTTAGCGGCTCCACCCTCTCGGTCTGCTAGGCAACAGCATTTGTTGCATTTTTCAACAGGAAGTGGGAGTGGAGTGGAGTACTTTGGTAGGGGGTGACTTGCTCTTTTAATGTCAAAAGTAGTATGTGCCAATGTGCAAATGCTTTAGTATCTCTTAATAATAAAATAGATGTTAAGTTGTGTTGCACAGAAGTGCTAATGCACGGCAACAAAGCAATGTCTGCTTCAGGAATTATCCGTGGATTGGTTTATTTTAGCTGAATAATCTGCGCCCACTTGGTATTTTATAATCAAAAACTAATTATATTATTATATTATATATATATATATATTTGATATGCATCAGACTAGATAATTTTATGAACTTGAATAATCTGGAAGTCAAACAACTAATGATTTATTTAATAACCTGTTAAAGGTAAGGTTGTTGTTTCTGAAAACAGCCGCTCAGACAAACAACCTTTAGAAAATGCATAAATCAAAGGTCCAACCCTCTTTCTTCAGGCCCTGCCCCTAAGCCATGCCCCCAGAATATAAGAAACCGCTGGATGCAGCGGATACTGTCAAACCAACATAAAAACGTTGCTTTATCTTACATGTTCGACCTGTTCTTGGCTCCTTTTCTGCCATAGTTCCTCACGTAACTTAGCTCCTCATAGTCCATTACCGATCCAGATTTCTCCTGACTCTGACCCCACAGAACATTTACGAGAGAGAAACCACTGGGATCTAGACTGGGCATCCAGCAGGGAGGACTGGTATTAAACTGGAAACACCCTCCACTGTTTTCTGTCAGGCTACATAACCATAAACAATCTAGTATGCTACTATGCTAGTTAATATAGCTAGCCCAGATCTGGCTTCACTTCCTGTTCAGCTGCTCCGAGCCAAGAACGAGTGATTCGTGGGCAAAAGGTGTCTGCAGAGGAAGTAGTCAGAGGACGGTTTGATGGATGGATCAGGATCCAATCATTTAGAACGGGACATTCACAGTGATTGGATGAGATTTTTCCAGGATTGCACGTCATTATTTTCTTTTGTCAAAACGTTTAATTTATTTGTTGCCATGTGAAGAGCATTCCAGAAAACCATCTCCCACCTCAGCTAACTGAAAATTTCTCATCAATGTCATGAATCTGATTGTAAAGTGTGTTTTTTCCCATCGTTACGAGTCTCAGAATGTAGAGCTGAGCGCTGACTGACACAGTTCAGCGTTTGATTTGTTTCCCACGCCCGTTGGTAATGTTGATCCAGTAAGTTGCAAAATGTGACGTTTGTGGATCAAGCTCAACCAGCGCATCCCAAAGATGCTAGATCCGATTGGGAATGGGAAAAGTGGGGTTTTCCACCTTCTCAATGCCGCAAACCGCTGAAAAACTCATTAGTTTGGATGGAAGCCTTAACGGTCTGCTCGCTCTCCGGGTGTTTCCTTGATTCGTTAGCAGGTTGCTGGCTGCTTCCTGTGTGTGTGTGTGTGTGTGTGTGTGTGTGTGTGTGTGTGTGTGTGTGTGTGTGTGTGTGTGTGTGTGTGTGTGTGTGTGTGTGTGTGTGTAACAGGGAGATGAAGCTGAATGTCTTGCTGACTCACTGATGAGGTAGAAGTAGGTGGTGGATGAAAATTGAGCCTGGCTGGTAGGAGACCATAGAGACAGATTGACCCAGTTTCCACCCCAGCACCAGCTCCTTTCGGTGTTTAATTTAGAAATAGTGGTTTTCCCCTTCTAAACTGGAGGTTTTTCTTGTAAAGAAGCTCATCCTGTACCTAGGACTGCCTACATCTCCAGCTGTGGACACACACATACGTTAAGGTTGCTTTATTACCTCTGGTGGGAGACTAGATCAGTCATGGATCAGAGGGATTATTTCTACAAAGAAGAGCTTGGAGGACCAACCTGCATTTTCAGAATTTTTTAAATATGCCAACACTTTACCATCCATCCATCCATTCATTCATTTTCATCCGAGTCATGTCATGGGGGCAGCAGCCTAAGGCGAGAGGCCCAGACTCCCCTCTCCCCAACCACTTGGGCCAGCTCCTCCGGGGGAATCCCAAGGCGTTCCCTGGCCAGGTGAGAGACATAGTCCCTCCACCGTGTCCTGGGTCTACCTTTAGGTCTCCTCGCGGTTGAACGTGTCCGGAAAACCTCACCAGGGAGGCGTCCAGGAGGCATCCTGACCAGATGACAATACTTTACCATCTAGTTTAAATACAGATTTATTTTTTCTGACCATTTTTTAAATATATTTCATATCACCAACATTGCAGAGCTTCTCTCCACACACCCATATGGGTCCGTGGGATCATACAGAAGTTACTGAATGCATTAATAACAATACCAGGCATTGGCCCGGTACTGTACTCACACTCATAAAAATGCCAATCACACTTTATGGAACCATGGCGTTTACCTCTCTAAATGTTATCAACACCCTTGTTTGCAGCAAGTTCTGGAAAAGCAAGAGAAGATGGAACATTACTTGTATTAGGACCAAAGTGTCATGGGAGATTTATTATCTTTTCATTTAAACAAAGCAGAACTATTTGAATTTGACTTTTTTCCCCCATAAGGTTTACAAAGGTTATTACAGTGTTCCAGTAAAACGATCTTGCTGCAGGGGTAGGGTTCACTTTCAGATTGACTTGATTTTTCTGTGGACGTTGGTCCAAAATGCTGTTAATGTACCATCCAGTCGTCTATCGTATTTGTGCTACTGGGACTTTAGGATTTTTCCTACTGAGTACTGGAGCCATAACGGATACAAAAATATGCTTACAAATGTTTATGGTGCAGCGGGGGTGATATGTTGAGATCAAAGTTTCTGTTCAGCTTCAAACCGACTGAACATTATATTTGACTAAATACTGACTTCGTTGAACAGATAATCATGTTTGCAATTCCTTACCGCGTTCGTAAGCTAAATGACTTCTGCGCTGTTCGTGTTACAGAGGTGGCAAATTATCGCTCAAAGAAAATTTCCCAACGTCACTGATCACACGGTGCATCACTTTGATGCTGTGTCTTTTTACATGTTCTGATTTGCTGAAACTTTGCATTCATGGATTTGCATTTGCCTGATTTCTTCTTCTTTGCAGAGGCAGATAGGTCGCACGGGCTGCATGAAGATCAGATCACACGGTGGCAGACCACATCAAACCGGATAAAACTAGGTCAGGCTGAATCAAACCAGACTCAGAACGGAGCAGACCCGGTTGATCTAGACGACACCAGGCCCGTCCAGGAGGCCTGTACCAGTTTCTTAACCAGGTACCTGAAGCACCTTTGGTTTTATGTGTGTAGAACCCTCCCACCTGTCCTTCAGAGAGGGTGGGTTTGAACCAGTGAGTCTAATGTGAGTCATCCGAGAAGTGGAACTATGTGGTACTTCTGTCCGCATCCATTACGAGGATTAAAATGGTGTAACTCTAACATCAGATGATGGACAAATATATTTTTAGTTAACAAAAACAAGCCAAATACAGAAGAACTTCATAGAAAAGGAGAGAATTTTCTATTCACTTACAGCAAGTAAGTGTGTTTAACTGGTGTTCAGCAAATGTGAGCACCTTTGGTAGTTTATTCCTCTGGATATTCAAGGTGTGTTTAAAGGGGCATTATGGAAGTTTGACAGCCAAAACATGTATAGAAATAATAAATGTCTTCTTCATACATTCTCCTGCAATGCCCTGGTCCTGTAGAATGAGCCCTGGCATTTTTACTGTGATTGCCTGTTTTTCTGTAAAATCACAGAAAAAGAGAGATGCTCGGGTCGAGCAGGCTGCTTCATGCGCGTTCACGCTCAGGCATCGCCCGTAGCATTTGCTATCCGTAGCTTTAGCAGCAGAGAGAGAGGCAGTGCCACTTTGTTGCTGTTCCTAACGCCTAGTGACAAAGCTAGCTACATTTCTGAGGACCCTTAGCTACTTTCTGTAGAACTTTCTTCTAGATATTTCCTGCTAATTAGCAACAAAATAGCCATTTTTGTTCCGATCTGTTCTTTGGTTTGACGTTGTTTCAGCTGTCATCAAGGGTATAAATGTTACAGATACTGTGAATGTTACTGGTGCTTTAGCTCACCTAGTTAGATGTCTGACTCTCATGTAGAAGACCTGAGTTCGATTCTGGGTGTGAACATAGTTCATTTAGAGTTTATTTTTTACATTGATGGTATATTTTTTTACAGTAAGACGCCCAAATTTTTATTTGAGACTCGCCGAACGGCATTGAATTCACAGATAAAAAAAGATGTGGGTTCAACTTTCATTTTGGAACAATTTTTCAAGCAAGGGAAGGGAATGATCTGAGCATGCAGGAGGACTGACCCATCATAAACCTTTGTCGGCTGTGCTGAAGAGAAAGGTACAGAACCAAATTAATTAATTAATTAGCTGCACGTTCTCCTGTCCTCTGTCCTCCGGGCCACACACACACACACACACACACACACACACACACACACACACACACACACACACACGGGACTGTCTCAGCTGTTATTTTCGTTAAGGAGTGTGCACGTACAGTAGGGCTGCAACAACGAATCGATAAATTCGATGAAAATCGATTACTAAAAGCGTTGGCAACGAATTGCGTCATCGATTCGTTGTGTCGCACAACTCTTCCAAAAGCGCCCCCCCCCCCTTCCCGAATCCCGCCCGCCGTTGCGCGCAGACCAGAGCAAGTCAGATCAGCACAAGGGAGAGCCGCAGATCAGCGCGAGGGAGAGCCGCTGATCAGCGCGAGGGAGAGCCGCAGATCAGCGCGAGTGAGAGCCGGCAGATCAGCTGGAGGGAGAGCCGCAGATCAGCGCGAGGGAGAGCCGGCAGATCAGCGCGAGGGAGAGCCGCAGATCAGCGCAAGGGAGAGCCGCAGATCAGCGTGAGGGAGAGCCGGTAGCGGCAGATCAGCGCGAGGGAGAGCCGGTAGCTGCAGATCAGCGCGAGGGAGAGCCGGCCCGGCAGACTTGCGCTGCTGCGAACCGGTTCCGCATTGTTGCACAGCGATCCAGGCAGCTGCTTCCAGCGCACGGTCCATTCTCAAAGTGGCGCAACCAAAAAACTATAATTAGCACACGATCGTTCTTGTCTGCACATCTTCTCTATTTTCTGTCTTATTTGTGCCTGAAGCTCGCTACTGCGGAGCTCATCACCTGTGCTGTGGTGATGTCACCTCACGCAGCATCGAAAACGCGCTCTGCGCTTTTCGGTCAGGAGATCCCTTTGATCTGCTCAAAAGTAACTGATGAGGTGAAAAGGTAAGAATCCAGGCAACAGATTTTCTGGAGAATTAAGAGGAGATGCAGGAAGATGAGAGACAGACAGGACAGGAAAATAGTTCAATAAAAACAAAAAAACAATCAATCAATCAATCAATCAATCAAAGCTTTATTTATAAAGCGCCTTCCGCAACCCTGTCAGGAAGCCCAAAGCGCTGAAAGTGAAACAAAGCGCTGAAAACAAAGTGTTGAAAAGTAAAATGTAGGTAGATTTATCACCACTACACGTTTTTACCTATAAAAAACAATAAGTTATACACATGTCATATTTATACATCTGATACAATTCAGATCACCTTCAAAACTCAGTCACACACCCAGGGCCGTTTCAAGACATTTTGGGGGCCAAGGCAAAATGCCCCCCCCCCCCCCCCCAATAACTGGGCTCCCCAGAAGCCTCTGTGTAATTCATGCCCTCTCCAGTAGTGTTAGTTATATGGTGTTTGTAAAAGCCCCTCAGACATTACTGACATGTTCTAATATTATCAGATGAAAAACTAAATTATCAGACATGCTGTCTCATCTGCTTCTTTTATAAACTTGCAAAAAGTAACAAAACCATTTGAAAGCCACTATTTGTGGATTCTCTGAAAGTTTCCATGGAGTGTGTGACTAGTTATTTTTTCATTGATCCTATCGTCTAATCTCACAGCTGAAACAAGCATCCTTAATAATCCGTGCACAGGAAGCGTACCGATGCTGTAGTAAAACAAAAGGTATAATAATTTATTATTAATAAAACCTTGTTGCAGAACTAAAGCAGAAAAATTTGATTTTGCATTAAATATGCTAAATATTTATATATGAATTGTTTTAGAGCCCTTTAATTGGCAGAATCTGATATTAATTTAGTTCTTACAAAAAATGGGTCCCAACATGGTTTGTGTGGCATTGCCATAGTGTGACGTCATAGGCACAGATCCCCTGTCCTCTTGTTTGGAAATGGAAATATGGTCACCCTACATTAAACAAACTGTCCACCCGGGCTTTTGCACTGCACAGAGAAGCTTCGCTGCCTACGACTGAACGTCAGTTGAGAGTCAGTCTCATGCAGAATGACCAATGAAGAGAGGGCCTCAAGTTAAGACCCTCTCCTCATTGGTCAGTCCACACGAGGTGGGTCAAAGGTTACTCTGGGCGGGTTACGTGTTGTCAGGCATTCAAGTATTGAGTATATTTACTGCATATTACAGTAAAATATTCTGTATGTGACCACATTATGGTGATCCTCGGGTCGTGATGATGGAGCCCTTGAATATTGTTGCCCAGGGTACAACAAAGTGTTAATCTGGCCCTGGTTCCGCCGTCACATTCCCGCAGAAACTGGTTGATCACACCGGGGCCAGACTACTAGCATGTGGTTTTACAACCACAATGTCCTCAGAAGCAAAAACGCTTTTAAAAGGGAGGGAGGAGTTCTAACTGTTGCTGCAGGCGTGTTGTGTGAGAGTGCAGTTATATACTGGTTAATATATTTTTGGGTTCAGTTGCTTTCATGTGGCCTAATGTGAGTCTATTTGGGATCATTGGAATGATCAGCAGCATTTCTTGATGTGACTTTATGGCAGTTGCCCAGGGCATCATCGCAAGGAGGATGGCATTCATTTACTTTTGTTTTATTTGGTATTTTTTCAGTCATTTTTTGGAAATAGTGATCAATTTTGATTAATTCACAGCCTATGTTTAATTACATTTAAAATATATGTCAACAGATGAGATCAAACAAAACAGATGAGAATTGCCCTTAAGCTGTTTAACTTGGACCAAGCATTTTAGGTCACAGATAGATGTAGCTTAGGGTCTCTGTCTATACACCTTATAAGACAATTTAGGTGATGGCATGTTGTTTTTCTGCTATTGAACTGTTTTCTAATAATGTTGTGTTAAATAAAGTGAAGGAAGGAGAGAAATAACGTTTCCCTAGCAGTTTTTAAAAATTTCCCCATGTAATCCGATTAATCGATTAATCGTGTCGAGACCCCATCCGATTAATCGATTATCCAAATAATCGTTTGTTGCAGCCCTAACGTACAGCATGTGCGCCTCGTGCACGAGCCTACTATTGAAGCTGCCATTACGCTTTTGGCCTGAGGGGGCGATCGCGAGCATAAAATTTCAAAAGTCTGTAAAGTCCCTTTAACAAAATAAATACTTGTATGAAAAATATCTGGAAAGATTTTAGAGAAGCAACTGCTGCTGCACATGAAATATTCAGAAGAGCAAAACATTGAGAACGAGAACCGGAAAACATCTTCCCAGTAGTGAAAATACCCAAATCCTCAGCTCAAGGTTGAAGAGTTTGTGTCTCAAAGAAATAACTGAGACCGCTTGATCACACTTTAAATATCTCGAGGCATTAGTTTTACTGAGCAGCAGTATCTGTGATGGAAACCAACACAGCATATCAGCTGCCAGTATGGTAAATGGTAAATGGCCTGTATTTGATATAGCGCCTTCTAGAGTCCTGGAACCCCCCAAGGCGCTTTACAACACAATCAGTCATTCACCCATTCACACACACACATTCACACACTGGTGGGGATGAGCTACAATGTAGCCACAGCTGCCCTAGGGCGCACTGACAGAGGCGAGGCTGCTGAGCACTGGCGCCACCGGTCCCTCCGACCACCACCAGCAGGCAACGTGGGTTAAGTGTCTTGCCCAAGGACACAACGACAGCGACAGACTGAGCGGGGCTCGAACCTACAACCTTCCGATTACGGGGCGAGCACTTAACTCCTGTGCCACCGTTGCCCCATATGGTGGTGGAGGGGTGATGGTTTGGGACCTGGGCGGCTTGGAGTCACCATCACCTTACTTTGTCTACCAAACTATCCCAGAGTCAAAGGTTTGGTCCGAAAACAGGACAGCAGACCCAAGCAAGCGTGTCAGAAACAAAAATACAGATTTCAGTCTGACTTTATTGTAGAAATGGATCCATCTGACCTTGAACGTGAACAAAACAAAGGAGATGATTTTAGACTTCAGAAGAAACTGGGTGGAGTCAAACACTGTTTCCATCATGGGAGAAGAAGTGGAGGTGGTTGAGGAATACAAATACCTTGGAGTTCACCTGGACAACAGACTGGACTGGAGAAAGAACAGCGAAGCCGTTTACAAGAAGGGACACAGCAGACTGCACTTCTTAAGGACGCTTAGGTCCTTCAATGTCTGTAGCAAGATGCTGCAGATCTTCTACAAGTCTGTTGTTGAGAGTGTAATCTCTCCAGCCATCGTCTGTTGGGGTAGCAGCATCAGAAGCAGGGACCTGAAAAGGCTCAACAGCCTAATAACAAAGGCTGGTTCTGTTCTGGGGACGACTGTGGAACCACTGGAGGAGATCATGCAAAGAAGGATTCTCCTGAGAATCAAGAAAATGATGGACAACCCTGAGCGTTCTCTTCACAAGACTGTCCGACAACAGAAGAGTGTCTTCAGTCAGAGGCTTCTTCAGTTCGGCTGCAACACTGACCGCTACTGGAGATCCTTCCTGCCAACAGCCATTGTAATATACAACAACTCTTTGATGACTTGATTATTATTATTATTATTCTGAGCTACTACAGCAATCAGTTTCCCTCTGGGATTAATAAAGTATTTTTGAATTGAATTAAAAAGCAAATTAGTCTGTTAATCAATGTCCAGACATTTAGAAATGAAGCAGCGCTGTAATGACACGCGGGACAGAAATCCACCACATCAGAATGAGAGAATAGCTAGTGCTGCTAAAGAATGTACCGCGAGCCACTGAATACGTTGTCTTCAGTTTGACTTCATGAGATGAATATGCCCCTAAAGTAAATGCAACAGTATTAATATACAGCCACCCAGACAACAGTGGGTTCCTGTTTATTCTGCTTAGCTACTTGACCCAGATGGCACCATGTTTGCTTTGTGTTTCCAGGCAACAGAATCTGTGTCTTTAGCTTTTATGCATCTTTTATACCTTTAGTCTTAAATTCCTCCGACCTTCTCCACATATTTGCTGTTTAACATTTACTGATTGCAAAGCAAACATGCTGTTGTGATGTCTGAGTGAGCAAAGTGGCTTTTCTGTGACAAACTGCAGTATGTTGGTGACGTTTACGAATCAGTGTCCGCACTTGATGTATTTGAAACAATGGATACACATGAAGAGATTGGCCAGCGCTGCAGCGTTTGGGTGATTTGGCATGACTGGCTTGCTTGGAAGGAGCTAACAACATGCATCATTAAACAAATAAGGGCTGCAAACTTTTACATAATTAGCTCTGCAGCATCTGCTCGCTCAGGAAAACGCGTCCTTTTGCGTTTTTAATCCACAGAAACAACCTCTGCTCTTCATCTGTCTTCATTATGTTAACTTTTAAAGATGAGGAACACTGGAAAAATGTTTTTTAATGATTATTTCTGATTCTAATCTGGGTGTTTCATGCAGGCTGAACATGAAAACAGTCTCCCACACCTATCTCCTTTATTAGCTTCTGAAGGTGAAACTCTAGGAAAGAAAAGCCTGACAGTTCTGTCAAACTGTCACTTAACACCCACCCAAGATCCTGGTTCTGGTCTATAGGGCCTTACATGGACAAGCACCATCTTACATTGGTGATCTTCTTAGTCCCTACACCCCCAGCAGGTCCCTGAGGTCCAGTGATCAAAGCCTACTGGTTGTGCAGCGCCATGCTAAAGGTCAAAGGTGACAGATCATTTGCAGCTGTGGCCCCCAGACTCTGGAACTCTCTCCCCCTGAGCCTGAGATCAGTGGACTCAGTGGTCTCCTTTAAAAAGCAGCTGAAGACTCACCTGTTGGGACCTTCATCTACTGCTCTATTCTGCTCTACCTATTACATCTTTCCCAGGATCCACTAATTTCCCTCCTTCGTATTTATTTTCTCTCACTTTCGATACATTTTTTTCTTTTCTCCTTTTAAACGTATTTTTAACTCATTCACTGCCAACCGTTTCCTGATCGCTAAAGCCCTTCGCTGCCAGAGTTTCTCACCGTTTTTACAGTTTTTTAAAGAGTGATAGAACGTTGCACGCTAGGATGATGTAGATGCCAAAACAACCAAAACAAAGCGGAGACAGACCTCTTACATCAGGAAGAATCCGCGCGTTTCGAGCGTTATCCATTCTTTCATAATCCGTTGTTGAACTGTGATCGGCAGAAGCTTTTCCGGTTCGCGCCTCACTTTTTTTACAGCAGCGGCCCAAAACGATCTAACACATGGATGTTCTACTTCCTGATCATGTGACGTGTGACGTATGCGGATGAAGATCTGCTTTAGAGCTGAGATGTTTGTTCTCACGGTGCGGGGGCTCGTCCGACGCCCACACAGTAAAAACATGCCAATGACGACTTTTGTCGTCATTGACAGTGAATGACTTAATCATTTTTTAAATCAATTTATACTTTAATTTTAAATTTTCTTTTTGGTTTTGTGAAGCGCCTCATGATTTACATCTTGAGAGGTGCTATATAAAAGATCGTCGTCTTCTTCTTCGACCCATCTTGGCTCACAACAGGGAAGGTTGTTGTTGTTTAGAAGCAAGTTTAGAAGCTAAATGTTAGCAACTCCACCACACAGCAGAACTCCTCCAGGCATGTGTTATTTGTGGAGATAAAGCATCAACGTTGCAGACCAAAGGTGTCAGTGGTAGAGTCGCATTGCTGTTGGCCAATCAGAGGAGAGATGCCCACAAATCAGGAAATGAGTGTTCTACGCCTTTAATAACAGCATCTTTTTTAGGCACAGGCTTGTAAAAACAAGGGTTTATTTGTGCTAATTCGACTCACTGCCACCATGTTTTTATATAAGTATTAATTGCTATAGAAGAAAAACATCCCTGGTTGTATAATTTATTTGATATATTGTTAAAACACTGTTGTTACTGACATGTCTGACTGCAGCTATGAAGAACATTCATGTAACTGTGACCTATTTCAGAGTCAGTGAATGCCAAGGCTTTCACAGACTGATGAAAAAGCACATCTCATGTCTGAAACGGGCTTAACTCGGATGACTTTGTGTGTCGGCAGTTGAGGGCTCAAGAGTGGATGGAAGGAGATGATTTTAACACAGAGGCTGTGATGAACATCTGTGGTGAGTGAGATTTTTTTTATCCACCCTAAAATTTCTACTTTTAAGCCTTTGCTGATGTTCCACTGACTCTTTTCATATAAGCTCCGATTTGGTTTTAAAGGTGGAATAGGTGATATGTTTCTTGCCGTTAAAACAAGCTAGTTTTTGAAATTACTAAATTTCAAGGGCCCAACCTCCTTTCTTCAGGGTTAGGGTCATCGCATTTTTCCTGTCGCCTTTCCCCGTCCCAGAATTTTCTCGGAACTCCAACAGTGGAAATGCAGCTAGTGACTGGATGAGGATTTTCCAGGATTGTGTGTTTCTAAAGCGATGAAAATGATTCCTTTTTGACAAAACATTGAATTTATTGGTTGCCACCGGTATGTGAAGAGCATCAAGCAACGTGGCAAGAAACGCTCCAGAAAAATAGCTCCTCCTTCACCTTTAAAAGCCACATTTTCATCTCTTGCAGAAATAAAATGCAACTGACTAAAGCCTGATTCATGCGTCTGCGTCAGCGTGGAGACACGCAACGCCATTATCCGTCCTGGAGAGCCCCCGCAAGGACGGACGGAGTCGAACTCTCTTTTCTTAACATCCGTCCGTCGAGACGAAGAACGCAATCTTGTGATTGGTCAGGACGCCGCTGTCGTCTACAGCGCCGACATTGCGCCCTCAAAAACATAAAGGGAGCCAAGGATAACTAGCGGCAGACACAGAGGAGCTTTAAGAATACCTCGCGAAAAAACTCTACAAATATGAACGTTTAATTCCCCCGTGACTGGAGGAGTGAAAAGATACGCAGCAAGCGTTTTATTTGTGGACGGAAATGACAGGAAACGTGGGTTTAGAGGTGGCGAGCGCATGAAGAGGTGGAGGAGGATGAGAGACAAATTTGTCCGTGTTAAAAAGTCTCTTATATACAAAAAACACAATACAAACACACTATCCTGGACCGATACATGACAGGATACCACAGAACAGTGCTACGCCCTCTGCTGTCCTGGCGACACTCTCCAGGAGACGAGAAGCACGAGGGCTAAACGTCTCCGTCCGTGCGTGTCTCTCCCTGTTGGAGCTGACGGAGAAGCATGACTCAGGCTTAAGAAGTTGTGTATCGTTGATGTTTGCAGATGACCTGATGGCAGACCAACGAATGGACATCTCGTCTACAATGACTGACTTCATGTCCCCCAGCTCCACTGACCTCATCTCCAGCTCCATCAGCACGCCCAGCATGGACTACACCCGCAAGAGGAAGGGTAGCAGCACAGACTACCAGTACGTTTTCTTCAAACACAGATCAGAAACTGCTGACTGTAAATAATCAGCTTTTTCAAAACCCCAACGGCACAACCCGATTAATAAATGTGTTTCCTTCCAGGATTGATGGCTTCTCATTTGAGTAAGTTCCTGTTAATAATAGATGTATTCACTTTAACGAATCACTGAAACACCAACTAACGGGACATGGTTTTGTTTTCGTTTCTACTTTAGTGACATGGATCCAGACAAAGACAAGCTGAGCAGGTACCACTCTGTTGTTGTTTATTTAGTTTTTTTTTTGGCTTGTGAAGCTTAGAAGAGAGTCTTCTAAAATATAAATCTGTTCATCCAAAATGTGTGTTTAAAGCGTATATTTGGTGTTTCTTCTCCGGAACATTTCTGTACCACACAGAAGAAAGAAGATGTTAGGAACGATACCCGCGTTTTAACAGCACATCTGCGCTTATTGTTCTGAATAACTAGGAAGGTTTAGGTTGAATTAATTAATCCAACCATGCTAGCTGCTTCTTTTGGGTTAGCTGGAGAGTAACAGAGATTTTGGCTTGTTGGAAGTTTTCTGGCGTGTTAGTCGCGTCGCGCTTTCTGCTGCTTTGTGGCACCGTGCTTTATGCCTCCTAGGGAGTGTTGCGAAGGGCTTTTCATGATCGGTAAAGCCCTTCGCTGCCGGCGTTTCTCACCATTCGTACTGTTTTTTTTTTTAAGAGTGACAGAACGTTGCGCCCTAGGATGATGTCGACGCCAAAACAACCAAAGCAAAGCGGAGACTCACCTCTTACATCGGGAAGAATCCGAGCATTATCCGTTCTTTCATAATCCGTTGTTGAATTGCGATCGGCAGAAGCTTTTCCGGTTCACGCCTCACTTTTTTTTTTTTTACAGCAGCGGCCCAAAACGATCTCCTAACACATGGATGTTCTGCTTCCTGATCACGTGACGTGTGACGTATGCGGATGAAGATCGGCTTTGGAGCTGAGATGTTTGTTCTCACGATGCGGGGGCTCGTCCGACGCCCACACAGTAAAAAATGCAAATGACGACTTTAGTCGTCATTGGCAGTGAACGAGTTAATACAGGAACACGTGGCTGTCACACTGAGCAAAGGGTCCAGCTGTGCTACTGATAAATTAACATTCATCAAGTGAGCAGGAGAAAATTAGTCACACAAAACAGGCTGGGCTGAATCTGACAAACGTTCTTGCTGAAGAGCTGCAGAAGCTCGTCCACCATCACCGTGGGACCCTATGTTGAAATATCACATTTTGTTTTATGATATTGAATCATTATTTAATAGCAGTTAATCGATATTTTTAAACTGAGAATTTATATACAAACATTTATTTTTTATGTGGTGCAATTCCAACTCCGACTGCTAGGTGGCAGTCCGACCTGACTTTCCAATTAAATCAATTAAATGGAAATTTTAGTATTGCAATACATCATACCACCAGCTTCCAGCAAATAAAGCTCTGTCTCCGTTTAGTAAGAAAGTGTCGCTGTTTATCCTCGGTTTAGGTGGAAGTTCGTGCTTCCCGTCCGGCTCCTGGAACGCCAGGATGCGTCTCTAGTCACCCACGACTCAGCAGTCGCACCTTTCTGCTCTTATTGGCTCGCTAAACTAGACAAAGGGGAAGAAGTCTGTGACTGTTTTAGGATGAATTTTGTCTCGGAAACCTGCTCGAAGTGTGTTGCGACCCATCCAAAGCAACCGGGTTTCCTGGCGACATTTTAGACTTCCCTGAAACTTGCATGATTAATCGTAGCCCGGTGTGATTCTGGCAGTTTAATAAACCCTGTCTGCATATTTGTGATTAAGTTGCACAACCTGAATGAGTTGTTTATTATAAAGCACCTTACCAGGAAGCCCAAGGCGCTGTTCCAGATCAAATCTAATTACAAACTAAAATCACAAGAGACCGAAACCAATTAAAAAAAACTGTTAAAACTATAAATCTTCAATCCTTAAAATGTGTGATTTGTTCTACCCAGCTGTTCCCTTTTAATGTGTCCTGTTTATTTTGTTCAGCGACCAACAAGGCAGGATTAAAAATGCCAGGTAATACTTTTTAAATACCATCTTAACTTCTGATTGATTTTGCGTTGAATAAAGATTTCCACCGTTTCAAATCTTTGCAGAGAGGCTCACAGTCAGATCGAGAAGCGTCGGAGGGACAAGATGAACAGCTTCATTGATGAGCTGGCGTCTCTGGTGCCCACCTGTAACGCCATGTCCCGTAAGCTGGACAAGCTCACTGTCCTGCGTATGGCTGTCCAGCACATGAAGACGCTCAGAGGTTAGCATCCGCCCCGGGGAACGCTGACCGCATCAGAGCGAGATACAAAAGTGCACTCACTGGCTTCTGTAATCGCATTAACTGTCAGAATTGCAACAAAGCAAAAGACTGTTTATAGTAAATAATACTGACAACTCTCTGGCTGCAGACGCACTTCCTGTCATGGCTGGAAAATAAATGTGCTTTATTAAAAGGCAGTGTTAAAGGAAGGACAGGATGTTCTTCCTGCTTTTTCATATTTTGAAGGGAAATGCCAAACATCTGCTCACCGAGGTGGTGTTGTGTTGATATTTTTCCTCTCTAATATTTCATAATCGAGCTGCGACAGGACAGATTTCTGAGTAGATCGATCAATAATGATAATCTGTAGTTTCGTTTCCGATTGCAGATGGAGCGTTAAAGGATAACGGCTCAAGATAGGACTTTTTTTCCCCTCGCTGACTCTGTTTTCTTATTGGAGGCTGAAAATCCGCCATCTTTCACGGGAACTTTCCTGAGCAGTTAAAAAATGTATCGTGGTTACAGAAAGGGGCATATTTATTATGACAAAATAAAGATAAGGGGATGGAAATGGGTTACCAGAGCCAGATATTCCAGCACTACTAATTCTGTTGACCATCAACAAATGTAGAAGTATGTTCAGATTAACCAACAGGAGCAGGATGTGAGCTCTGATGTGTGCAGGTGGAGTTCAGTTGTTTTTATTGCATGCAGGTGCAGCCAACCCGTACACCGAAGCAAACTACAAACCTTCCTTCCTCTCAGACGATGAGCTGAAGCATTTGATACTAAGAGTGAGCACGAAGAGCTTCTAATCTATATCAAAATTATGCATCTGAAATCATTTAATCTGTGATTATTTTGTGTGTTTTAACACTGCAGGCCGCTGATGGCTTCCTGTTCGTGGTTGGGTGCGATCGTGGCAAAATCCTCTTTGTTTCTGAGTCTGTGTACAAGATTCTCAACTATAGCCAGGTATGCTAACAGTTTAGAGGCCATGGGTAGATGAAAAGGTGCAACCATTTGTTTATAACCATAAAAATAAGAGTGTCTGGTCTGAAGTAGGGTCGTCGCGGTAACCTGTGTAGCGGTAAACCCCGGTAAAAAAAGTTGACAATAATAATAACCATCTTGTTTTTAAAAACATATATTATCTCGGTGGATTACCGTGGCTGCGGTGTAGGCGCGGTGACCCTTACCAGCCACCGTATCATCTGCTGAAGTTGCCGGTGACACATGCGCACTTTGTTCAATCAATCGATTTTATTTGTAGAGCACCTTCCGCAACGTTATCAGAAGCCCAAGGTGCTGAACAGCATCATCATAAAAAGATTCCCAGTACCTGGGCTTAAGAGCAAGATAAAAACATAAAATCATAAAATAACAAGCAAGCAATGTTACAAATACAGAGAGATAACGGAATGAGACTAATCAATTAAAAACAAATGGTGGACAAAATAAGATCAAGCATCCTGATCAAAAAGAAGTATTAAAAACCATAATGTCAGGGCAATTCAATGAACCCTAGCGCTGAAAAGCAATCAAATAGAAATGAGTCTTTAGACGAGACTTGAAGGGACGGCGCCTGCCTAATGCTCAATGGCAATTCATTCCACAGAGTTGGAGCCAAAACAGAAAATGCACGATAACCCCTCGATTGATATTTCGACCGGGGGACCACCAGAAGTTCATACTTGTGCAAAAGTGCAGTAATGTAAGAGGGGGCACTGCCCTGGAGGGCCTTATAAACAGAGTTACGATCTTACATTTAGCTCGATATTGCACTGGGAGCCAGTGCAGAGCATCCAGCACTGGAGTAGTGTGATCTCGACATCTAGTACCGGTCAGGAACCTAGCCACTGAGTTCTGTACAAATTGGAACCGTGCAACCGTGCACTGGCCCAGACCGGCATACAGAGCGTTACAGTAGTCCAGGTGAGACAGGACGAATGCATGCAACACAGACTCCAGATGAGCTCTGGACAGCAGAGGCCTGATCCTAGATAGTCATTTCAGATTAAAAAAACAGGACCTCACCACCGTATTTACGCGAGTGTCAAGATTAAGTGAGGAGTCAATTTTTATCCCCAAATTACTATTTTCTTTTCAGAGGGGGTCAATGGGCCAAGGTCAATATCAGCACCTGAGCCATTTCTTCTGCCAGGATGAAGTATTATGACTTCCGTTTTGCTCTCATTTAGGTGCAAAAAATTAGAAGCCATCCAACATTTTATGTCCTTCAAACAGTGCAGTAAAGGAGAAACAGATCTATCCTCCCCACGTCGAAGAGGGAGATAGATTTGGCAGTCATCAGCAAAAAAATGAAATTTCACATTATGCCGACGAAGGAGGACTCCAAGAGGAAGCAAATACACTGCAAATAGGAGAGGACCAAGGACAGAGCCCTGTGGCACACCCCAACAAAGTCTCACGCAGGGTGACGTCACCTCACCCATCTGAACACTAAATGTCCTGTCATGAAGGTAGGAGCGAAGCCATTGGAGGGCCTGCCCAGCTATACCCACCCAATGCTGTAGTCGGTCCAGAAGGACTTCGTGGTCGACTGTATCAAAAGCTGCAGATAAGTCCAGCAATAGTAGGACGACATTGTTATCCATGTCACCGGCTAAAAACGTGTCATTAAAAACCATTAAATGCAGATTCAGTGCTGTGACCTGCCCTGAACCCTGACTGAAAAGTCTCCCATACATCATTTGTGTCCATAAAGGCAACCAACTGTGAATACACGACCTTCTCCAGCAGTTTGGAAAGAAAAGGGAGTTTTGAGATGGGCCCGTAATTAGCTAAGCTTGTCACATCCAGCCCCGGCTTTTTTAACATAGGATGAATAACAGCCTTCTTAAACGAGGACGGAACCATACCAGAAGTAAGACTGCCATTTATGATTGCCAACAGCAAAGGGCCTATCACTGGAAAGAGTTCTTTATCAATTCTAGGGGGCAGCACATCACAAGGGGAGCCAGATGGTTTAAGCTGAGCGACCAGTTTTTCCAAGTCCGATAAGGATACAGGCTAAATGTTTCCAGTGTAGCCTGGGGCGGCTCTGGGAGTAGAGAGTCAGGTGGTGAGTTTGTAATGGCAGCTCGAATAGCTGTAACCTTATCAACAAAACAGTGAAGAAAGTCATTACAATTTTCAACTGTGGGAGGCAAAGAACTAGAATCCGAGAACTCAAGTAGCAAATTTACTACAGAAAAAAGAGTGCGTGGATCATGAGAATTTTTTTCCACAATATCAGCAAAGAACTTCACCCTCGCTTCCTTAAGAGTTTGCTGATAGTTAAACAAAGATTCTCTGAATATCTCACGAGAGACTTGGAGTCTGTCTTTCTTCCATTTCCTTTCTGCCCTCCGAACATCATCAGAGAGCCATGGTTCTGGTCTAGGCCTCGGCTTTCTAATCCTAAAAGGTGCAATTTTATCCAAAATGTTTTTACAGATTTTTGTTGTTTACAACCAAAACTTTCTTGAAGCTAAAGCTGAAATAATGGCCAAAGGAGGAGACGGCAGCGCTCAGGACATTTATTATCCCTCAAAGACGACAAAGTGGGAAGTACGGGCATCTTTTGGATATTTGAAGAATGCCGAGGGACAGCTGATAGAAGACGGCTATCCTGTTTGCAGCACGTGCAGAAAAAGTGTCTGTGAAAGGCAGCAATGCTTCAAATCTCATGACACATCTGCGTGACCATCACCCACAACTCTACAGTCAACGCAAGGAGAGCTAACGTTAGCGCTTTAGCTAAAATGCGTGATCCGAGGATTTGGGTTGAGGGAGAAAGCAACGAGTCGCTATATAAAGCAGCCGCAGCGCCGCTACCTGCATGTAAACCGTGTCGCGGACATCGCCATGTTGAAATGACGCTATGCATTACGGGGCTCCCAGGGGCAGATAAGAGTTGGTCTCTCTCCGAGAATAATTATGAATTTAACAACGATTACTGCCTGATGACATTTTCCCACATCTGCAAAGCTCACTGGAAGGACACAAACCGAGGACAATATTTTCCTGATATAGGGTTTATTACTCAAGTAAGGGTAAAAAAGTATCTGATTAGAAGGCTACTTGAGTACCGAGTATCATCTGGTCTAATATTTTTAAAATGATGACATCAAACAGACAAAAAAATCAGAAGTTATGGGCAAATATTGGTATTTTAAAGAATAACGGGGAAAAATGTAAACAAATAAACAACATAATTACAAAATAACATATTTTAGGCAAACTGAGGACATTTTTTTCCTGATATACAGTGTTTATTTAGTTGTCTGAAAATATAACACGTCAAAAAAAATACCGCGATAATATCGAAGACCTTGATAATTTTGGTTACAATCACCGTGAGGTTAGATTTTCACACCGTGACGACCCCAGTCTGAAGTAACCCTAACCCAGAATCAGAGGAATCTACTTCATGTTCATTATTAAGAAGTTAAACATGATTTATTTTAAAAAGCAGACCCTTGCAGCCTTGAGTTAGAAATTCTCCTTGTTGTGCAGCTTCACAGCAGATCAATGTTTTGGTGTTAATCCTAGAAGATAAATGAGTGTATTTATCTTCTCTCATGTTGTCTCCAGAATGACCTGATAGGTCAGAGCCTGTTCGACTACCTTCACCCCAAGGACATCGCTAAAGTCAAAGAGCAGCTGTCCTCCTCAGATACCGCCCCGCGGGAGAGGCTCATTGACGCTAAAAGTAAGCAAGGACAAATGCGTATCTTCTGTTTTTCTACCATCAGCAGTCTGATTAACGTACGTTCTCTCCTTTTGAGGTCTTCCTGATCCTCCGTTTTCATCTTGATCGTTAATCTTTATTAGTGATGACGATGTTAAAAAACAGACCTGGAAACTAAACCTATGAATTTCTGCAGTTTTTATTGAATCTTTCTTCTTTTGAAAGCGTTTATTGGAGCTTTGAGTAAGTAAAACCTGTAAATGAGGTTCTGCCTGAGATATATTTTTTTGTAATTTTGCCAAAAGATATTTCAAATAATCTAATTAAAAACTGGCTGAAGCGAACCCAAAAAGGGTTTAACAAAAATACTTAAATTAGAAATAAAATGCAAAAACTGGATCATTTCAGTCTCAAATAAGACAAAAAAAATCTTTTTAATAACGTAATCATATATATTTGATTCGCATGAATCTAAAGGTTTTTTTTTTGTTTAATATTGTTAAAAATCTAAATAATCCAGGGCATAAAGAAAACAGTCATATAACAATTATAACCATTTATGACCATTCAGTTGAGTTTTTTAAGAATTACCGTATTTTCCGGAGTATAAGTCGCACCAGCCATTAAATGTATAATGAATAAGAAAAAAACATATATAAGTCGCATTTTGGGGGGAAATTTTATTATTTTTCTTACAAAATCTGAGACCAAGCGTTTCACATTGCAAGACAAGTACCGGTAACAATAACAGAATAAACAACCAGGGCGCAGCAGCGCGCCACGGTCTCCAGCAGAGGACGGCGGTGTTTCAAACCCTCCCGGTGGGACAGGCGAGCTCATTCCTGGTCCGGAGCCGGCCCGCAGCAGCGCGGTTTACTTAATTTGGTATATAAGTCACTTTGGTATATAAGTCGCAGGACCAGCCAGACTATGAAAAAAAAAGTGCGATTTATAGTCCAGAAAATACGGTAATATGGAAATAAAGCTTCAGCAATTGTTTTTCAATATTAGTTCCATTTCTGTAAATCTTCTCAAGACCGTGTGTGTCGTTCCTGGTGATCCAGAGTGGTGTCCCGACCCCAAACCTTCCTTTAAACCATAATGGCGTAGATGGGTATACAGTAATCCCTCGCTACTTCGCGGTTCATTCATCGCGGATTCGCTGCTTCGCGGATTTTTTCTTTGGAGCATTTTTCAGGGGGAATTTGCAGATTTGCGGTATTTTTCACTGATTCGCGGAATTTTTCTATGCGAAATATCAAGAAATTCTTGTTTTTTTTCATCAATTTCATCATAAAATGCACTTTTTGTAATAAAACTAAAAAAACCAAGTAAAAAAAATTTTTTTCTTGAGTTTTACCCACAAAAAGAGAATGTGATCATACGATAATTCAATATAGTACTGTATGTCAGACAGGTCGGCTGGATTCGGGAGATGAGCTTGTAGGGAGCGTGGTTTCACAGACGCGGAAGTGATGGCGTCGGTGAAACGCCGGCTGATCTAGGAAACCCCGAGCGTTCGAGCGTCAACGAAGTGACACGGAAATGCCGGGCTTTCCAGAAGTAAGTAAGATAACTTACTATGAGCTGATAGTTCGTTGGATTGATCGGTAGGTTGGAAACTCTGATCATGAATCTGAAGAAACGATGACTGAGTGGTGAGCTGGAAAGGCGACTTCCGTTTATAGCCGCGGTTTGTGACGTAGCTGCGACGTGGAGGGAATCCCCGCTAGGGGCATGCTGGGAGTCCCTACTTCGCGGATTTTCACCTATCGCGGCCAGGTCTGGAACGCATCTACCGCGATAAACGAGGGATTACTGTACTGCATGAGTGTTTTGGAATTAATTTGGGAAAGGAGTTGTGGAAACGCCCCGACTTTGGGCACCTCTGGTTTAGAGCTGAAAGTGTTTCTGTTTGTTTTTAGCTGGTCTTCCTGTGAAGACGGACATCACTCCTGGTCCATCTCGACTCTGCTCTGGAGCCAGGCGGTCGTTTTTCTGCAGAATGAAGTGCAACAGACCTTCAGTCAAAGTAGAAGATAAAGATTTTCCCTCCACTTGTTCTAAGAAAAAAGGTGCAGATGTTTTTATCTGACTGTGCTCTTTCATCCCTCATGTTACATAAAACCATGTGATTTCCAGACTTATGGATCCAAAAGCCCAGTTTGCAGATGTGTTTTTCTGTTTTTAGTGGCATCTTTGTTGGAAACGGGAATCCCCCTTCAGTGCGTGGACGAGCATTTCTGTTAGACTAACAAGGAAGCCGTGCTTAAATCAAACTAAATGTTGAAGAAATGTCTCCGCCGCTTCCTCGCCGTAGCATCCTTATCGATTTAAACTCATCTGATCCTTCTGGTACGGAGAATAAAACCACAGGACAGGAAATCGGACGCTCGATCACAGCGGAGCCAGTCCGCTCGTCATGAATTCACTGCAGTTATTAAGGTCTTCACATTCAAATGAGAATATGTCTGTGAAGGTTCTCAGGCCTAGTCCACACGTAGCCGGGGTTTTTTAAACGAATATCCGCCCCTCCAAAAACTTGCATCCACACCACCGCGTTTTAAAAACCAACTCTGTCCACACGTACCCGGATAAATACGTTGTTAAGGACATGCCAGACCTGTAGGCGGCAGTACTTCCCCGTTCTTAACCTCGTCCTTCGTCTGTGGTCTTTCGCAAGGAGCAGTAATTCCGCTTGCAAAAACAAACAAGCAGAAAGCGCTTGGACAATTGATGGATCGAGTAGTGACAGAGCGCAGCTCCGAGGGCTTCCATGCTGTCGGCTAGTGTAAACACAGGTCGCACACGTGATGTCAGCATTTTTTGTCGCGGAAAGTGACGTTGCGGACCTTAACACTCCGGTTTTGTCTGTCCACACGCAGACACCCAAAACGGAGAAAACGCAGATCTTCACTTTGGCCGGAGTTTTTAAAAAGATCCGTTTTCGTGTGAAAAAACTCTGTTTTCGTGTGGATGACAGGCCAAAACGTAGAAAAATATCTACGTTTTGGCAGATCCCCGGCTACGTGTGGACAGGGCCTCAGTCATCCAGGTCATTGTAGTCTAATGAGCTTGAAAGAAAAGCGTCTGGACTTCTTTGAGTTGCTTGAAGACGTTTCACCTCTCATCCGAGAGGCTTCATCACCTCTCTCTCCACGAGAGGCTCTCCACCATTTGACCTCAGAACTGAAGAATCCTCTTGGATGAGAGGTGGAACGTCTTCAAGCAACTCAAAGAAGTCCAGACGCTTTTCTTTCAAGCTCATTAGAATTCAAATGAGAATCAAGTTTTCACCTAGAAAAGTTATTTCTGGAGGGTTTTCCTGGAACATCCTGGCGCTCCAGAGTCCTGAGAACTAATGAGTCATAAAAATGAATTCGTGTGACCCTGCTGGTGGGTCGACTGGAGTGTGAATAAACATCTACTGACCCTGAAAGTCTCTAATGCAGCAGAAAACCTCGTAAATTTATCAGATGTCACGTAACATTCATGGACTCACCCATCTTGACTCGCAACGGAGGTTGTGTTAGTTTAGCATCCAGGAAACCGCAGTGAACATCTCAGCTAGTAGAAGCTAACCGTTAGTTAGCAGCTGCACCACACAGCAGAACTCCTCCAGACTCGTGTAATTTGTAGAGATAAAACATCAACGTTGCATCATCGTGTTGCTGTTAGCCAATCAGAGGAGAGATGTAAACATCAGGAAATAAGGCTGCAAAACCTGACGTCTGAAGTAGGGTTGTCACGGTGTGAAACTTTAACTTCACGGTTGTTGCGACCAAAATTATGCCGGTTTTCGGTATTATCGCTGTATTTTTTTTTTACGTGTTACATTTTCAGGCAACTAAGCAAACCCTTTATATCAGGAGAGTTGTCCTCGATTTGTGTCGTTCCGGTGAGCTTTGCAGATTTGGGAGTCAATTTATTGCATTGGCAACCAGCTCTTATCCCCCCTCCCCGTGAACCCCGTAATGCATGGCGTCATTTCTATTTGGGGGTGACCGCGACACAGTTTGCATGCTGGCAGCGGGCGCTGCGGCTGCACTGGCAGGCGACTCGTTGCATTCTCCCTCAACCCAAAGTCCTCACGTCACACATTTCAGCTAAAACGCTAACGTTAGCTTGTCTTGCATCGACTGTAGAGGGGTGGGTGATGGTCACGCAGATGTCATGAGATTCGAAGTGTCAGGATAGACGTCTTCTATCAACGGTCCCTCGGCACTCTTCAAATATCCCAAATATGCCCGTGCTTCCGACTTTTATCTTCTTTGGGGGGTGACGGATGTCCTGAGCTCTGCCGTCTCCTCCTTCAGCCACGATAATGCACCAAGATCTTTTTTTTTTTTTTTAAACAAGACGGTCGTTATTAATCCCGACACTTTTACCGGGGTTTACTGCTGCACCTGTGTCTGAAGCTACCTTCTCCTCTGGCTGACTTCAGTGTCCTCAAACAGGCACACCAGCTTTTTTCTCCAGAGTACGACTGACTTAAGCTTGGTTTATGCTTGACGCATTCACTTTCCACGCGGTGATGCGGCTCGCGGATGGAACGCGCTTCACAACTCGCAGCTTTTATGGTTCGTGCGGCTCGTCTCTGCGGTGAGCCAATATTCTCCCAAACTGTAGGGGGCAGCATGGAGCTCTACGGCATGCATTCAACACTACACCATAGTTGAAGTAGAAATTACTGTTTACAACATGGCATTCCAGCATTTTTAACAGCGTCCTCGTCTTTACCGACAGTGCGAGCTATTTCTCTCCAAGAATTATTAACAACATGTTGATCACGGTGATCTCTGAGAGCTGAATCATACAAATGTCTGTATTTACGAACCTCTGCCATACTAGTTCTTGCCGGTCCGCCATGTTTTTCCGCGTCCGTCCGTCCGCGTGGTTAGAAATTTTCCGAGGTGCGCGTTGCGGAAATTCTGGGCCGTGTGGAGGCGCGGCGGAGGGGCGTGGTTGTTAAAATTACGCAAAATGACGCTACTTTTCCGTGCGGACCTCGCGGACGCGTCAAGCATAAACCAACCTTAACTCCTTCCTCCTGGAGACCACTGCAAATGTATGAAAATATGAGTCAAGACCTTTAACCTCTGAGATTAGTTAAAGATTTGCAAATGAAACAGAAAAAAATCAAGTTTAAATAGTTAGTAACCAGTAAACGGTCCCATCATGCTGCTGTCCAGATGACCATCCTAACTCCTCTCCCCCCCCCCCATCCCCAGCTGACCGTAAGAGCTTCTGCACCATCCACAGCACGGGCTACTTAAAGAGCTGGCCGCCCACCAAGATGGGGCTGGACGAAGACAACGAGCCGGACAACGAAGGTTGCAACCTGAGCTGCCTGGTGGCCATCGGCCGCCTGCACCCCCACATCGTCCCCCAGCCCAGCCCGGCGGACATCAGGGTGAAGCCCACGGAGTACGTCTCCCGGCACGCCATCGATGGAAAGTTTGTCTTCGTCGACCAGAGGTGAGAACGGGAAACGTTACCGTTGCTTCCGCAGAAAAGCCCTTTGATGTAAATCTGCTTACGCAGCAATTTTACCTGATTTATTATTAAAGTGTTTGTAGAGCTTGTTATAATAGACTTGTGTCAAAAACACCCATGATGATTCATCGTTCATCATCTGAGAGAACCAGCAGATTCATACCTTCAATGATGTTCTGCTGAGCTGTGGTGGCCTCATGGAGGGGGCCATCGACTAGCACACTGCTGCTAACCACTTAAACATTCCCCCTCTCCTGATAGCATTTTACTCTCTTTGACGTTGGACGTGCTACTACTAGTTTACCCGTTTAATTATAGATTCACTAGGATAAATACAATAAAGTTTATCTCTCACCAAATAGAATTTTTACTAAGAAATCACAATGTAACCATAGAAACACTACTTGGTGAGTGTGTGTGTGTGTGAGTGTGTGAGTGTGTGAGTGTGTGTGTGTGTGTGTGTGTGTGTGTGTGTGTGTGTGTGTGTGTGTGTGTGTGTGTGTGTGTGTGTGTGTGTGTGTGTGTGTGTGTGTGTGTGTGTGTGTGTGTGTGTGTGTGTGTGTGTGTGTGCGCGTGCGGGTGCGGGTGTGTGTGGTGGATGGCTGCTTATACTGAGCCAGGATCCTCTGGAGGTTTCTTCCTGTTAAAAGGGAGTTTTCCTCTCCACTGTCGCTATATGCTTGCTTAGTATGAGGTAGGAACGTGTATTGGTGAAATCATGGTGATACGATACGCATCACAATACAGGGGAGACGGTACAATATATCACGATATATTGCGATACATTCATTCAGATGATAATAGTGTTTTTTTTAGACTGAATTTATTATTGGAAAATTCAATAACCGTCCAAACTGATACGTAACATGTTTAACATGAGGTATCTGAAGGGATTTACATTTCAGTGGTGGAAACAAAACCCATTGCACACTGCTTCCAACTAACAGTCGACGTTGGAATTGCACCAAAAGAAAAGAAAACACACAAATATTTGCATGAAATTCTTCCAAAAATTTGATACACAGCTTTTGAATATCAATATTATGCTGCAGGAAAAATATCACAATATATTGGGATATCGATATTTTCCATACACAACTTTTGAACATATCGATATAATATCGCTGGGAAAAAAACATTGCGATATATTGCTGTATCGATATTTTCTTACATCCCTAGTATGAGGATTGCTGTAAAGACGCTGACACTAGTCAGTGACTCGATGCGACCTGCTGGGTTCCTTATACAGGAAACTTGTTACTGATTGGCTTAATGACCTGACCTGTAGTGGGATGTTTACTGTGTGCAGGTCCTTGAGACGACTCTGGTCATGATTTGGCGCTTTATAAATAAACTTGAATTGAATTCCTAAACCTCTTTTGGATTTTTTTTTATTTCATTGAAAAGACAAAATTATATATAAATAAACACAAACTAAGAACACACAAAACACAAAACAAATCTGAATGAAAAGGAGCAGATAAAGAAAATAGTTAATAATTTCCACCTCTTTTTACAAAAGGAAATGAACACAGCCTAGGTTTTAACCAGCAGACATAAACAATCGATTTTTAATTTTCAGATTTCATCATAATTTTTATTTACTAATGACTTGATACGCTTGAATTTATACGCTGGAGGGATCTCTGTAGTGACTAATAATCCTCGATGCTCTTTTTTGTGATTTCTGATGTTTTGAAAGTTTTGAAACTAGCAAAAAAATAAATAAAAATGATGCTAATGGAGCAAAGAAGAGGAAAACCCTGAAAACTCACCTTGACTTCAGTTTAACAGTGATTTGATAAAAGCGTTTAGCGGCGTCTGCCTGCAGAAATGAAACGTGGTCACGGATGAAAATGAAAGGTGACGTTTAAGCCAGCAGATGTCACTACACCCTTTATGTTTTACTGCTGTGGCCTCGTGTGGGTTATTGTTGACCTCTTACTGAAGTGTGAGATCGCGCCAACGTGATTAAAAGCAGACCTCAGACACCATTTTCTGTGTTTTTGTTGCTCCAGAGCCACGGCCATCCTAGCGTATTTGCCCCAAGAGCTGCTCGGCACTTCCTTCTACGAGTATTTCCATCAGGATGACATCAGTCACCTGGCGGAGTGTCACAGACAAGGTATGGTCCGAGCTGAGCCAAAGCAGCTCCGCAGACGGATGTGTGTCACTCATCCTGCGCTTCGTCCACAGTTCTGCAGATGAGAGAAAAGATCAACACCAGCTGTTACAAGTTTAAAATCAAAGACGGATCCTTCATCACATTGAGGAGCCGGTGGTTCAGCTTCATGAACCCGTGGACCAAGGAGGTGGAGTACATCGTCTCGACTAACACGGTGGTGTCGTAAGTATTCCGATTACAGCTGGCTCTTCGGCAGCACGTGTGGATATTTTAATGGATGTTTTTCTCCTTAGATGTCCGATTATGGAAGGATCGGATTATCCTCAGTCTGCTGCATCTCCACAGAGCATGGACAGTGTTCTGACCTCAGAGGGTAAATGTCACAAATCACCGCGATTCCCACTCCGCTGGGGTTCGTCCCGCTGGACTGAGCAGTTATTTCCTGGTTTCTGTGGATGTGCAGGTGGGGGGAGACGAGCGCTGCAGACGGTGCCCGGCATTCCCGGTGGCACGAGACCAGGAGCTGGGAAGATCGGACGTATGATAGCAGAGGAAGTGATGGAGATCCAGAGGTAAAATAAAACCAGCAAAGTCGTTTCATGCAGATGGTGGGAATAAATACGCCTCAGAGGTTTATCAGCTACCGGGAAGCTGGAAGCGTCGGTGTACGGGATCTGACCTGAAACACGCCACGTGCTCAGTGACGGCTCAGCGCTGACTCTTCCTGGCTGCTACGCTGACAGGACGACACGCGCCATCGCTACACCTCCCAGCCCAAATTGTGGAACGCAGTATTCGTAATAATCTCAGAGAGCGGGATTCAGGGTTTCTGCAGGTTTAAAGGAGCCAAATTTAAGACTTTTTAAGACCTTTTTTAAGGCCACTTTGACCAAATTTAAGCTATTTTTTAAAATTAAATCTAAGCTATAATTTCCAGCTATTGCCTGGAACCGGTGCTAACCACGTCACGAAGGTGGGATTAGCCATCCAGTTACCATTAAACTTGCACTTCCCCATGGCGCAAGCCCCCACTAGCTTAACCAGCTAATGTGCTCATCTAAAAATAGCCCCCTTTCACAACCAGCTGCATGTGTACGGTTCCGCTTACGGCAACATCGTACACAAAAAATGCTGAACGCCAACTAGAAATTCAGGAAAATTTTATAGAACTAAAAGAATCTTGTTTATTGGGTCTTTGGTAATTTAAGACCTTTGAAAGCTGTATTTAAGGATTATTTGTCATTTTTAAGACCTTAAATTTGGAAAAGCTAATTTAAGACTTTTTAAAGACCCGTGGATAATCTGGGGACTGGAAAAAAATGACATCTCACCTTTTGAAAAGGTGCGTGTCCTCGGGTGGGTGCGTGTTGCTCATGACAGCCTCTGACAAACTGTGGCAAGTTAAAGATTTCAGGTCTAAACACAAGAAAATGTCATAAAAAAGAAGCAACACATCGGTTAAAATCAGGTGTTTTCACATTTTAGTCGTGGTCGCATCGTGTAACATTAACCGTGTTACTCGGGTCGCATATTTCCATCTTCGCAATTTCAGCAGCCTCCGTCCTTTTCTCACGCCTCGTGCTGCTGCAGTCCTCGTTCACGGTCTCATCGCCTCTCGCGTGGACTACCGTAACTCCCTTCTGTTTGGTCTCCCGACTGAATCCCTTCATAAACTCCAACTTCTCCAGAACTCTGCAGCACGCATCATTACTGGGACCCCCTCAAGAAATCACGTCACTCCTGTTCTTTAAAACCTACACTGGTTGCCAGTGGAAACCAGGATCCTACTACTCACGTTTAAAGCTATCCATAGCATGGCCCCAGTTCCTCTGTGTAATCTAATAACTATTGCTACCACCTCCCGGTCCCTTAGATCCTCATCTGCACTTGATCTGGTTCAACACTCGAGCTCGCCTTACCACCATGGGGGGCGGAGCCTTCAGTTGCTCTGCGGCTCTGGAACTCGCGTCCCTCTGCCGTTAGAAATACGGACTCTTTTCCATTATTCAAGGCACACCTCAAAACCCGCTTATTCAAACGTGTTTACTCCCTTTTAGGGTCGCCACGGTGTGAAAATCTAACCTCACGGTTATTGTGACCAAAATTATCACGGTCTTCGAAATTAACGCGGTATTTTTTTTTTACGTGTTACATTTTCAGACAATTAAATAAACCCTGTATGTCAGGAAATATTGTCCTCAGTTTGTGTCTAAAATTGCCTAAAATGTGTTATTTTGTAATTATGTTGTTTATTTGTTTACATTTTCCCCTTTAGTCTTTAAAATACCAATATTTGCCCATAACTTCTTATTTTTTGTCTGTTTGATGACATCATTTAAAAATATTACATCAGATGATACTCAGTACTCAAGTAGCCTTCTAATCAGATACTTTTTTACCCTTACTTGAGTAATAACCCCTATATCAGGAAAATATTGTCCTCGGTTTGTGTCCTTCCAGTGAGCTTTGCAGATGTGGGAAAATGTCATCAGGCAGTAATCGTTGTTAAATTCATAATTATTCTCGGAGAGAGACCAACTCTTATCTGCCCCTGGGAGCCCCGTAATGCATAGCGTCATTTCAACATGGGGGTGTCCGCGACACGGTTTATATGCAGGTAGCGGCGCTGCGGCTGCTTTATATAGCGACTCGTTGCATTCTCCCTCAACCCAAATCCTCGGATCACGCATTTTAGCTAAAACGCTAACGTTAGCTTGCCTTGCGTTGACTGTAGAGTTGTGGGTGATGGTCACGCAGATGTGTCATGAGATTTGAAGCGTTGCTGCCTTTCACAGACACTTTTTCTGCACGTGCTGCAAACAGGATAGCCGTCTTCTATCAGCTGTCCCTCGGCATTCTTCAAATATCCAAAAGATGCCCGTACTTCCCACTTTGTCGTCTTTGAGGGATAATAAATGTCCTGAGCGCTGCCGTCTCCTCCTTTGGCCATTATTTCAGCTTTAGCTTCAAGAAAGTTTTGGTTGTAAACAACAAAGTGCGCATGTGCCGCCGGCAACTTCAGCAGATGATACGGTGGCTGGTAAGGGTCACGCGCCTACACCGCAGCCACGGTAACCCACCGAGATAATATATTTAAAAAACACAAGACGGTTAATATTATTGTCCACTTTTTTACCGGGGTTTACTGCGACACCGGTTACCGTGACAACCCTACTCCCTTTAGACCTAGACTTTAGAATGTGGTGTCTTGTTTGTTCTTGTTGCTCTATCGACCTCTGTTGTTTTTATTGTTTTTATCTTTGTTTAACTGTACGGCGACCTTGGGTTTGAGAAAGGCGCCCTCAAATTAAATATATTATTATTATTATTATTATGTAACTGTTTCATCTGTCACGTTTCTGTAATTTAGCCTCAAAGTGTCGTAATTCCGCTTCATTTTGTTTGAAGTCACTTAATTTGACGACCCCCCCCCCACACACACACACACACACACCCACCCACCCACACACACACACAAAGTTGTCTCACTGATTCTGACTCAGAAATCTTGCTTTGGCAGCTGATTTGTTGGGTTTAGTCTAAAAGCATGAATGAGATTTGTTGTTATTTATCTGCTGAGGACCGGTTTAATCAGGTTTTTGGACTCTGGAAGCAGTTCTGAACAGGAAGTGTGTTTGTCTGTCAGGATTCGTGGCTCGTCTCCCTCCAGCTGTGGCTCCAGCCCTCTGAACATCACCAGCACGCCTCCCCCCGACACCTGCTCCCCAGGAGGAAAAAAGGTACAAAAGATCCTGAAAACGTAATAAACTGGAGTTTCTCCTCTGGTTTAATCCACTTAAACGATCTCGCTGTGAGGCTGAGTCACAGAAGCTGATGCTATTCTACTTCCTCGTGAAGAAGGTGTGAGGAGCGGCGGACGGATTTCCTTACAGCAGATTATTTGAGCGTTTGCATCAACTTATGACTATTTCTGCCATCTCAAAGCAGCTCCAGGGTCAGATCGTGACTGCTATCGTGTCTGATCTCTCTTCAGATCCAGAACGGAGGAACGCCCGATCTGCCGAGTACGGGGATCATTCCTGGACCCGATTCCGTCGGCTACCCTTACTCCAACCAGTCCATCATGAGTGAGTTCCACAAACATGCTGCTTCCTCTTGCCCAGGCATGACCTTCTCACTGATTTTCCGTCCATTTAGGTGACAACTCCCACCTGAGCATAGACATCATGGACGAGCCCGGCTCCAGCAGCCCCAGCAACGACGAGGCGGCCATGGCGGTCATCATGTCCCTGCTGGAGGCAGACGCCGGCCTGGGCGGTCCCGTTGACTTCAGCGACCTGCCCTGGCCTTTGTGAAGAAGCGGGACAGGGACGGTCCAGAGCCACTGATGGAGATCTCGTTTCCCGCCCCTCTGTACACAACTGCACTGCAAAAAGGCCTCAACAACACGCGTGTTCTAAGTGTGTAAATACTGAAGATTTTTACGAACAGAAAGGAGGAGAACACTTCTCTTAGATGTTGCGTCCAGCTCCGACTGGAGGGCCGTTTAGACTTCGCCTCCACTTTTTGATTCATCATTCCTCGTAGGTGGACCTGAGACGAACTGCGGGATTTTTAAATAGCTCCAAACGGTGTCGTTTTTACAGTGTAGGTTGCCTGCAGATCAGCCCCCCACCCCCCCACGGCCACGCCCAGATTACAGAACTGTGGTGCTAACAAGTCGACCCCCCTCCTCCTCCTCCCACCAGCGGATTCTGTCCAGCAGTGGCTCTGGGCCCCGACGTTACCATGGCAACAGCCACTTCAGACCAAGCCGGGACTCCTGAGACGTTAACGGAACGCTGTTCCGGTTGTGTTGTGAGGTTGTTGAGATTGGAGGCTTTGATTTCTGCATCCTGACGCGGTCGTCTCAACACCTTCTTCCCGTCAGACCCGTTGTGCAATCACCGTTTCAGCTAAGCTCATTATTCGCTCAGCCGGGTGTGTTTTAAAACTTTAATTAAAGTTATTCCAAATCAAGTTCAAATTAAGCGAAACTTGTTTCGACTAACAGCTCTGGGAGCTGCTCTGCGGCCCATCCCGATGGGAGGAGCAGAATCAGGATTGTTCCGGGAGTTTTCCGGCGCAGCCTGCAGCACTTCCACAGAAACAGGAGAACAACTTTTTCTCAGCAGAGGTCTTCACGGGCCTGAAAGATCAGGAAGTCCACCCGAGGCAAACCACGGTGGACGTCGACGGAGTTTAGGATCCAGCTTCTCTCAGCTTACAAAAACTAAAACTCTACTTCCTGGTAGAAGGTAGTGCAATAATTCTCGTTTAGGCCCCCCCCCCCCGCCCGTGAGCGCGCCGCATGAAAAAAGTTAGTAAGAGCACTCAAAATGAATTTTTTTTCTCTTTTATTGGGGTTTGATCTCAGATCCTCACAGAGGCTGCAGACCTGAGTGGACTCATGGAGAGCCGCTGCTTATTTAATCCTGCAGGTAGCGAGCGCCCAGCGGGGGGGCTGGGGGGAGGAAAACAGCATTAATCCAGCCACGATGGAGGAAGCAGTTCACCTCCAAGATCATTTAAGAGCTCCTCTGTGAGGAAATTCCTTCACTGCCATTTTCCTAAGAGCTGCTTTCCCCAGCTAAACTGGTGTCGGAGCGGGTCACAGGGTCTTCTCCCCGCTCACATGAAGTACTTCAGGCTGCTGAATACTAATTCTTGTTCTTTTCTGCCTCTGCACCGTGACTCGAGTTTCTCCTCCATAGGGACTCGCTTTTAGATCAGAAATATCCTGAATAATTTACTGTTTAAATGTCATTTAGAGGATTTATTTTAAAAAACAAAACACATTCTGGCCTGAGTGCTTCATTTGACACATAATAATAATAATAATGATGATGATGATGGAGTTTTTATGGAACTAGATGAAGACGTGAATGGATGTTCTCGGATCACACCGGTAAACGGGTCCAGGAGATGTTTCTAGAGTGTTGGGATGCTTAACACAACCAGCTGCTCTACTGCTGGGCCGTCACGTTGATGGTCTGATCGGAGGATGGAGAAGGAAGGGTGAGATTCGGGCGTCTTGAAGCATCTCCGTGTGGCTCAAGAAATCCGACCCAGTTTTCCTTTGAAGTTGTAGATTGGAAAAGTAATCGTATCATTATAGTTAATTCCTAATGAAATAATCTTTCGTGAATCCGATGTTTCTTTAAATAAAACCGGTTGCATCGGTTTTATTCAGATTCAACAACAGAAAAAAATGAGTTTTCTGCATGAAATATTGTTTTTGATGTTTTCTCGCAGCAGAAAGTGTGAAAACTGCAGCTCTTCCTGTTTGAGCTCAGGCGTCCCTCCTCCTCTTCGCTCTTCCTCCTCCGATCACATGGCCACCGCTGATGCCCCCCATCTGTTTTAGTGGGTTTTGGTCTAGTGGTTCAACGCTACACACTACAGAACGTTTCCCTGTCGATATCTCCCTCCCCACCTGACAATAATGTATCAGATCTTTAAATATTATCATGTTAAGAGTATACTTTATGCAAATATATATGAGTATGATGAGTGTATTGTATGTATCAGCAGTGAAATATTTTTAAAAAATAAATTTATTTGTTTCTGTCGTGGTGGATTTGTTTCCTGCTGACCGTCCCCCAGCTCAGGTTCATACCCGGTGTCCTCTCAGCCAATCAGGGCAGCCCGCTGGTATTTTTAAGTGCTGTTGCTATGCAGCGGCAGGAAGATCTGGAGGAAACGTTGCGACTCGAGCTGCTGCAGCTGAAGGGGGTCAGAGGATGAGGTGGTGTGCTGAAAGTTGAAATAATCCCGTTTCTGAGATTAAAACGGCGTCTCTGGTTCAGCGGCCCGTTTAAAGCTTGAGTCAACACTTTGAACTTGTGCATTAAATAATTTAAGTGGGTGCAGAAAATCTATTTTTAATTCCTTCATTTCCATTTCTGACTCGGGTTGTTTCCAACTATTTAGCATCTCTTTTGTTCTCGGTCAAATCCCCCCAGAAAAGCCTTAATTCTGCTCAAATATTCAAACTAAAATGACTTGATGAGGCTCTGGATCTCATCAAAACCTGAGAAAATATTTTTAATTCAACAAGGGACCAAACGTGGGTGATGCTGCAGCCAGCTGCTCCACATGGTCTCTAATTACATTAATAATGCAGAAAATATTCTAGTGCTAAAAACTTTATTAACCACAGTTTTACGGCTATGTCTGGTTTGTTCTGTTAAGCTTTCAGTGGTCATTTTGACTTAAAAGAACACATTTTTATGGAATAATGGTGGGAAAACAGTTATATTTAATGTATCATGCACTTTTCATAAGTTCCTACATTTACTGTTATTCTGTGAAACCCTTTGACGGCTCAAAAACACAATTTAGTTCCAGTTTCTTATTAAAACGACGCTAAACTGAAGAAAAACAAATGCCTAAGAAAATTTGAAATATGTAGATGTTAGAATTAGATGTAAAAGTTTCACCTCTATTATTATTTCTTAGGTGTGTTCTTGCTGTGTCTTGGTTCTAATTCTATGCTGTCGTTCTTTTTTAAAACACAGAAACGGTTCCGTTACCTGTTTTTTCGCTAGGTTTCGTCTGCGGCTGCAGCTTCCTCAGGCTGACGCTGACGGTGACGTCACTTCCTTCTTCGTTTATCCGCGGGCAGCAGAGGACGTTGTCGCCCTCTGCTGCCCGCTCTCCCCTCTCAGACGATGCGGTCCCATGCGCGGTCCAACGTGTAAACTCCATCCTCCCAACATAAACACACCAACAAAACCATACACAACAGTTCGAAACAGACTAGTGCACCCAAAAGACAAAATATCAGCTGGACTTAAAGGTGGAGTCGTTTAGGAAATCCCATGCAAACTCTGCAATAAAACATACATAGGAGAAGCCGGACGCCAACTCAACACACGAACAATAGAACATAGAAAGGAGTGTGAGAAAGAGGCAAGTCGAAAGAGAGGGTGCTCGCTGCAGAACCACAAAGGCGGAGCTGCACCATAAGGTGGAGCTGCACCAGGGTCAGCCCCGCCCATTCACGCAAACTCAGCCTAGCCCACTGACTTCCGTTTTTGTTTTCCAACTTCATCGCAAACTAACCTGACCCACATGAATTATGGCTGTTACTACTTTACAAATGTTAATGCTATGTTCTATGCTCCAATTAAACAAGATAAATATAACTTGCTACATGACAAAGCCTGAATACATCTTGAAATGAAACGATTTCTTCTAGCAGATATCTGCCCACAGCCGCTCTAACAATAATGTGGTGCAACAGCATAGGCCATTATCATATGTGCTCTGGTAGTCCAGTGGTAAGATCATCTTAAGCAAATTTTGCTTCCCCCTCAGCAGATGCTGGTTCGATTCTCGGTGAGGTCGGCATTAATCTATTTAGCCAGCTGAAACATTGAATTTGTTTATATTTTAGTTGTAATGTTTATTTTCAGCAAAATATTTATGTCTCTAAAAGTTCTTTGAATTTGGTCGTTCCTAAACAGCATTTTAGTTGAAACTCTGCTCACAAATGGACTCACAATGGCTAAATAAACGAATAAATAAATAAACACATTAGTCATTATATTGTAAACGGTATACCAGTAAATTGTTGTAAACAGTACTGGCAAGTGTAGCTAGAAATTAAGAAAAGGGGTTGTAATCTACCTAAGATTTCTGCCACTGGGAGTCGAACCTGCGCAAAACTGCATGCAAACCTGCCTCCATAGCCTCTACCCCACCACATCTGATATGAAGTAAGTGGCGTTACATGTAATTGTCCTATCCAGTGTGTCTTTGGAGATGGGATGTATGGTTTATTGGCGGTGTCTCAGTAGAAGTCATTTCAGAAATAATTTGTCAGAAAATTCACAGAATATCCAGATTTGAGAACCAAGACCAGACCCACTTCAGGGGAGGAGACCAAATTGAAGCTGAGATGGGAGGAAAATGCATGAATGAGGCCAAAAATGGCTTTGGCGTGTTTCTTATGAGGAAATGACAATATAACATGATAAAAAGTTCCAAAAGTTAGATTTTTAATTATATGGAACCTTTACAAAAACTGTTCAGTTAACTTCTCACCTCCGTCCTCAATCTTGTATTTTTTAGCTATAAAACCCTCTTTGGTTCCAGAATGCTATCAAGTCTGACAACTGGAAGGAATTGGACTGACTCTGATGGAATGGACGGGGCTGACTCTGGAATGGGCGGGGCTGACCCTGGTGCAGCTCCACCTTCTGGTGCAGCTCCACCTTTGTGGTTCTGCAGCGAGCACCACTTGAGTCGAAAACACACAAGAGCAGCAAAAGAAGAAGCAGAAAGCACAATAAAGAAGTCAGCCGTAACAGATCAGTGCACAAGAGAAAACCGTGTAATGGACCGGGACGACACAAGGATCATAAACACCGAACAACGGAAATACAAAAGATGGATAAAAGAAGCTATGGAGATAAGGAGACGTAATTCTGTATAATTTTAATGTTAATGTTGTCCACCATCAGGTAAAACCATTTGTGTTCTGGTTGACTGCAGCTCTGACTGGAATTCTCAACAATGTAGATGTGTTTTGACCAGGCACACACACACACACACACACACACACACACACACACACACACACACACACACACACACACACACACACACACACACACACACACACACACACACACACACAGCAAAGCAAGATGCTAAATCAGATTCTCTAAAAGCAAGACCGCTCAAGCCGCTTTTTTTTTAATAATGGAGACACCGCCGACTTCGTCGTGCTCTTTAGCTCCGCCCACATGCTTGGAGTTGTGCTTATGACATCACAGGTCACAGACCACCCATGTGCTCAATCACTCATTCCTAATATGAGGTTCCGAATGTGCCAAAAATGTGTCTATGTATTTCTATATCCTAAGGCAGTGTGGAACGAACGCGGGCAGGCTGAGCCAGCAGAGTGTAGCCAATTCTAGTGTGTAAATGGTATTTCCTGATATTTGGATATCTCACCTCTGATTGGCTAACAACAACACGATTCTACTGCTGACTGTTTTCTCTGCAACCTTAATGTTTTATCTCCACAAAAAAACACAAGCCTGGGTGAGTTCTGCTGTGTGGTGGAGTTGCTAATGCTAATGGTTAGCTTCTACTAGCCGAGACGCTCTGCTGTTTCCTGGACGCTAAACCAACAACAACCTTCCCCCTCGGGAGTCAAGATGGGTGAGTCCATGAATGTTAGTGACAGAGTGACGTAGATCTGTCAGGATTTTCTAATCCTAGAGTTTCACCGTCTGTTTTCTATCAGAAGCTACTGCAGGAGATAGGTGTAGGAGACTATCTTCATGTTCAGCCTGCATGAAACACTCAGAGTGACCCGTTAGAATCAGAAATAATCATTAGAAAAATATATTTGCTTTTCAGTGAACCACACTGTTGAGAGAGAGAGAGCGTGCACAAGTCAGTTTCTATATGACCGACCTGTCCAGGTGTGACCCCGCCTCCCGTCCAAAACCCACTAAACATGGCCACCAGCTCCTCGTGAGCCTGAGCAAATGAGTAAAAGAAACCAAATGAACGAAATTGATAAAAATGCGAGAAAATAATATTTTTATTCAAATATCTTTAATTTTTGTGGGTTGGAACTTATTGTGTAAGATTAAAAACTAAAGCTGTTCTACCGAACGTGTCGGAGGGTTCATATGTAAAAAATGTGTCACGTATCACATTTACTAGAATTGTTACATAAGATGTACACACCTGATTCAGTGGATGGATCACCTGTTCAGCTCTGCTAGTCACCTGCTGGTTAAACCCAAGTGTTGAAGCAGAAACCTCTGAAGACACACGTCCATTCAACGTAACGGGCATATCTGGCTCCAGAAGCAGCGAAATCTACGTTTTTAGCTTCAGCGCACCTGATTTTAATCAGCAGGTGATTAACGGGCCGGGCATGTGATTCAACCACATAATCATGTGTGTTGGAGCAGGAAAACAACTAAAACATAATGGATAGGAGCAGGGTTCTACTCCAGTAAATAGTCACACATGTATTTTATCAATATTTGTAACTTCAGGCTGCATGGTGGCGCAGTGGTTAGCACTGTTGCCTCGCAGGACGAAGGTTGCAGGTTCGAAGCTCGGCTGCAGCCCTTCTGCGTGGAGCTGCGTGTTCTCCCCATGCATGCGTGGGTTTCCTCCGGGTACTCCGGTTTCCCCCACAGATCACAACATGCCCTATAGGTTATAAATTGTAAGTCGCTTTGGATAAAAGCGTCTGCTAAACAAATAAACAAAAACTTTGGTTGCACAAATTTTCTGTGGTGAAATAATAAGGTTGATGTTGTGGCTGCAAACAACAAACCACACACCTCTTTCTTATTATTTTTTGTAGGATTTCCTTCATGTCAGAAACTCTTGGATCTGGGATCTTGTTGTGATTCAGTAACAAAAATCTTCTCCAACTCATTTGATTTAAGTCCGGTGTCAGTGCAGGATCGGCTCGGGGTCCTTTGACTGCCGATGACGTCAGAGTAGTTGATTGGCTGAACATGAAGCTTACGGAAGTGACGTTATGATTTTGATTGGTCAGAACAAACTTGCGGTCGTAGTCTTAGCGGTTTTAGTCCTGTAGTCCAAAAATCAACACTTTATGGAGAAAATGTTTGCATTTCTATAGGAAATGTAAAATTTAAGCTAATGATAAACGGTGACCCTCAGAAGCTCTTCAAATCAAAGCTTTATTTATAAAGCGCCTTCCGCAACCCTGTCAGGAAGCCCAAGGCTCTTGATGTTGATGAAATGGGGCAAAATAAAATATAAGAACTTTATTGAAATGTTTCAAGGTGGATAAACGAGGGCCCGGGCGGGATTCGGTCCCCAGACTCCCGGGTGAGAGTCATATGCTCTAACCAGTCAGCCAAAGGGACATCCCCTTGGCCAAGTAGCCAGGGCGCATGATCAATCGGGACACTGTAACAGGACACTCACACTGTCACAGAAAGACACCAAGCAACATTTTGAGTCAAAGAATGTATTTAGATAACAACTAAGGAAATATACAGACGAACTCCACATTAATGCAGATGTGGCTTCACATATTAGAACTGTTCTATTGTTTGTCAGTCCGATGTTGGTTTTATGCAGTTTCACATTCTTTACTAAACAAAGATAATATGGTGTTTTATTAACAAATTACAATTATAAAGAAAACAAGAATTTATTAACAAAACTGCTGATGTCTTTCCAAAACGTGTGTGTGAAAGCCGAGTAGAGTTGCAGTAATGTGACGTCATCGGCAGTGGAAGGACCCCGAGCAGATCCAGCACCTGAACAGATCCTGCACCCGAGCCGATCCTGCACCCGAGTCGATCCAGGACCCGAGCAGATCCTGCACCCGAGCCGATCCTGCACAGGAGTCGATCCAGGACCCGAGCCGATCCAGCACCCGAGCCGATCCAGGACCCGAGCCGATCCTGCACCCGAGCCGATCCTGCACCCGAGTCGATCCAGGACCCGAGCCGATCCAGCACCCGAACAGATCCTGCACCCGAGTCGATCCTGCACCCGAGCCGATCCAGCACCCGAGCCGATCCAGGACCCGAGCCGATCCTGCACCCGAGTCGATCCAGGACCCGAGCCGATCCAGCACCCGAGCCGATCCTGCACCCGAGCCGATCCTGCACCCGAGCAGATCCTGCACCCGAGCCGATCCTGCACCCGAGCCGATCCTGCACCCGAGCCGATCCTGCACCGACACCGGTTTAAGCAACTTGACAGGTTTTGTGAATCATATTTATTTAAAAAATGTTCTGACATCTTTTTACATTCTGTGTGCTCACAGCAGTGACGATACATCTGTGCAGTTTCAGAGTTCAGCCTGCAAAAACAAACTAGGAACGGGAGTGAAAAACAACGTTTTATAAACATCTTTTAAATAGAATGGAAAAAATAATTAAATAAACATTAGAGGCACTAAAGCCCACATTTCTGAGGAGGAACCGCATCTCACAACACGCTTACAGGTCCAACACGAGCTGCGGGTTTTTCCACAGACGGAACAGAAATAAACTCCTTTGGTCAGATAAAGACGAACAGAGTTGGACGCTGCAGACCTGCAGCAGCAGCTGGAGGAAGTTGGTGTTCACACTGAGGTGCTTTACGTTTGAAAGGTGTGTGCTGATTGGCTGACAGGGTAACCAGGATTTTGTGTGTCAGCGTTATGATGAAAGCACGCTGCTGATGGCGTGAACACGGCTGATGGGGGAGGGGGGGCTGCATCATGCAGAGGGGGATGGCGTGTCGGGGTCCAGGTCGTAGCGGTAAGTGTTCTGACTGCTGCTGTGCTGCTGGTTGCTGTGGGACTGGCTGTGTCCGGCTTGGCTCGGGTTCTCCTGAGCCTGCTGGTTTGAACCCGGGTTTGTCTCCGGTCCCTGCCCGACAAGCGGCTGGTGAGGGTCGTTGGCGCCCGGGAGGTGGGGCAGAGTGTCCAGCTCGTCCACCTGAGGCCCCGGAGGGTGCAGGACCACCAGCTGGTCCTGAGGAATGTCGGCGGCGGCTGCGGCCAGGTTGGTGGTGGACTTGGACTTGACGCACTGGAAGTCCACGTGGCGACTCTTCCCTTCCTCCTTCTCCCAGGACATGCGGATGAAGGGACGCTGGACGTAGTTGTAGATGACCTCTGGACGACCTCCAGGACGGCGCTTCACCTTCTCCTTATAGGTGGGGTATCCTGGTGAGGAAAGTGAAGTTAGAAAATAGTTTGACGGGTCGGCGAAGGCTGAGATCCCACCTGAGCTGTGAGGATTTGCTCATTCACGCTACATTCACACTCCAGGCAAAAACGTATGAAATCAGATTCCCCCCACACATGCGACCCATATCTGATAGCTGTGCTGAAATCCAATCCAGGTCACTTTTGTATGTGGTTCTGATTCTGATACAAATCTGATGCTTTTGAAAGTGACTGCAGTCGGAGTGTGCTGACGTTCCTGAGGAGAAGCGCTGTGGAAGGATTCAGGAGTCTGTCTGGAGATCCTGTTAGGTTTGGGAATCACAAGTACAGGAGAGCCTGAGAATGGGAGCGGAGGGTGCTGCTGGAGCAAAGCGTCGCACCGGTCTCAGTCTCCGCAGGGGGGGGTTCTCCGTGAATGAACTTAATACTGGAACTCTTTCAGAGAATAATAATTTGGGAGGACGGCGGAATTAAGGAGTAAAATAGTTTTTATAACAGTTTCTTCTCACATACAAAGCTCTTGATAATCAAGCTCCATCATACATCAGTGATCTGATTGTTCCATACGTTCCTAACCGAGCACTTCGCTCTCAGACTGCAGGTCTACTGGTGGTTCCAAGAATATCTAAAATTAGGATGGGAGGCAGATCTTTTAGTTATCAGGCTCCTCTCCTGTGGAACCAGCTCCCAGCTTTAGTCCGTGAGGCAGACACTTTGTCTACTTTTAAGACTAGGCTTAAACATTTTTATTTGATAGGGCCTATGGTTAAATCTGATGTTAGCCTAGATCTGGACAAGTGGGGGAGTAGAGGGAGGTGGAGTGTACAGTCGGTAAAGACGGCTCTCCCTTGCCCTGCCTCCAACGTGTGTGTGTGTGTGTGTGTGTGTGTGCGCTCTGTCTTCTCCATCCCCAGTGAGTCGTGGAGGATGGCTGCTTATACTGAGCCAGGATTCTCTGGAGGTTTCTTCCTGTTAGAAGGGAGTTTTCCTCTCCACTGTCGCCTTATGCTTGCTTAGTATGAGGATTGCTGTATAGTCACTGACACTAGTCAGTGACTTGATGCAATTTGCTGGGTTCCTTATATAGGAAACTTTTTTTCTGATTGGCTTAATGAACTGACCTGAATTGGAATGTTTATTATGTGAAGTGCCTTGAGACGACTCTTGTCGTGATTTGGCGCTATATAAATAAAGTTGAATTGAATTGAACAGTTTTCAGCCAAATCGGGAGGCTGGACAGGTGATCCTGATCCTGTCAGGCTTTCACATCACAAGGCCGCCTCTCCTGGTTCCGACTCCACTGAGTGTGACTTCTTGATTTCTGTGCACGTGGGTCACTTTGGGGCCGTGGAGTGTTTGATGTCGTATTTCAGTGAACAGCCACACAAAAAAATGTGGACTTACTCAAAACATCGAAATCGAGCCTCAAGGCCTGCAGCCTCAGAGACATAAACCCACAGCAGCGACGGATCCCACCAAACGCACCAAAAACCCATCGAGTTTGAATAAAAACGCATTTATAATTTATCACCCACGTTACTTTTTAGGTTTAGCATCGCACGGCTAACAAAAACGCCTCTGGAGCTTCCTCCCTGTACCTTCTATTCCCAGTCGGATCTTCTTCAGCCCGCGGTCCTTCAGCACAGATTTTGCCACGTCTCTGTTCTCGATGTACTTGAAGAAGCGGTAGAGTTTAGTGCTGTAGATGACTGCAAAGAGAACAAAAACAACAACTTCTCATTTCTACAAATAAACAATATGATCACAACAGCAACAGCGTCTGATCTCCTTTTAGCCATCGCCGCTAACTACAGCCGATTATTCAGGTCAGCGTCTCACTCTGAGAGTACTCCTCTCCCATCTGCGGCGGGTACTCTTCATCCCAGTCCACCACATCGTCGTCGGTCAGCACCACCACGTGACACTCCCTCTCGCCACTCTGAGCGCTGGCCACCATCAGCGGCAGCAACATCTCCTCTAAGTAACACTCGAACTGACGCCGGGCTCCGTCGTTGGACAGCTCGTGCATCAGGGCGCCTGAGGAGGAGGAGGAGGGAGGAGGGGGTTCTTTAACAAGCAGCTAAAACAAAAGGTGGCATCAGAATCTTTCAGCTTTAGCAGATGTTGGATACCAACTCAAATATAAACACCTTTGGTTTTCATCCCATTCTTCCTGAGCTGAACTCGAAGGTCTGAAACATTTTCTAATAACACAAAAGATTCATTCTCAAATACTTGCTAATCTGTCTAAATCTGTTAGTGATCCGTCGCACCTCACAGGTGTGCCTCACCACTGGCCACAATAAAAGGGAAGGCAGGATTAGGATATGCGGACATCTTGCCTCTGATTGGCTAACAGCAACACCGCTCTTCCTTTGTTTTTTCTTCACAAATAAAAAGCCTGTAGAGTTGCTAATGGTAGTGGTTAGCTTCTGCTAGCAGAGCTCTGCTCACTCCCTCCTGTAGGCGGTCCCAAACCAAGATGGGTGGGGCCATGAACATTCATTTTCCCTGTTTAGTAGGAGAGATTTATCCTGGAGACCATCCTGTGTGTGAATTTATGATCTGGCCACGACCCGTAGACAGAGCTCAGTCACGGGGCGAAGTCTATGATCGTCTTTCAACCCGTCTCCACACTCAACTGGTCAGCGCTAGGATCAGAGAGCAAACGACGTGACATTCACCACAGAAATCTCTCAACAGGGCAACGTAGAAGAGGCAAACGCATCCTTGTCTTTAAAGTACTTCAGTACTTCCAGTGTTTCCCGTACAAAGGTGTATAAATCCCAGCGCCACGCCTACAAGATCCCAAGTTTTATTGATTTTTTTTTTGTGCGCTGTTTCCCGAAGAAGCAGCGGGAACTACTCTGTTGTTGCTTGTGATCACAGCCGGCAGGCAGCAAGGAGGAGGCGGCAGGGCAGGGTGTTTACAGCTAGGGATGAGCCGGATACTCGTTTCAGACTAGGATCCGGTACGGATAAAGCATTTTTGACGAGTACCAGCATGAAACGAGTAAAACTCGTAAATATCTGTAATCGTGCTGAAGGAAAATCCTCATTGGGTAACTGACTGTCTTCAAGCTCTGTGATTGGCCAGTCACATAGAGCGCCCGCCCCTCCCTACACACAAAACTCTGCAGCCGGGAGCTCAGTCCGGCCCATGCATCCATGCACACACACACAGTAATGGATCACTCTGTGGTTGTTTTACTATTGTTCACGTTTCTTCAGCTCGCCTCTTTTTCGGCTGAATACTTAAAAGTTACCTTTTTCATAACGTACGTGGTGGATCCGACAAGACAGAGCTGCTGAAAACGGCTCGTGCATGCATCAGTCACTGCCTCTGCTCAGGTTTTTTAAATCTCTCTCTCTCACACACACACACACACACACACACACACACACACACACACACACACACACACACACACACACACACACACACACACACACACACACACACACACACACACACACACACACACACATGTGTGTGTTTCTCAGGGAACAAAAACCTTTAAGGACTTTTGAAGCGGTCCTGCTGCTATAATAATTATAACAATAATAATAATAATAATAATGAAACCAATTACAAGGCAGAAGCTGAAGAGTGAAAAACATGAAACTTCACATCCTGCTGTGGCTGAATTCAAACTGTTGGCTGGTGTTGTGTCCACGTAACAGGCAGCAAATCTCAGAGCTAATCATGACCTACTTAGAGCTGCACACACAGGCTGTGAGCTGAATCTGCTCCACACACACACACACACACACGCGCACACGCACACACACACACACACACACACACACACACACACACACACACACACACACACACACACACACACACACACAGCTGTGTGTACATTAAACACGCGCAGGCGAACAACGTTAAAGCAGAGGAAAAACACGTTCAGGCTGAATAATCATCAGTGATGAAAACCACGATAATTATTACTCCTTATTCACATCTCCCTCTTGTTAAATGAATTACTTTCTTCATGATAAAGTCTGTAGCGGCCGGTCGATCCAATGCTCGGCCGTGTCCAAACTAAAGTCACTGAGCACCAAAACAAACGGTCTGTGGCTCCACTCACCGAACTCCAAGCACAAACAACAAGTCTGCAGTTCCCCGCACACGACACGATAAAGCGACGCGTGAACTCACTGAGATCTCGGCACTTGATGGTGCTGTAGCTGAAGGAGATGCAGAGGTAGTCACATGCCTCCCTCAGCTCGGGAATGGAAACGCCGTCAGGGCAGCGGATTATTCCTGACTTGTAGTAATCCTGCCATTTTCACCAGCGTGCAAAGGGGGAGAGAGAGAGAGAGGGAGAGGGAGATATGAATAAACAGGCAGAGAGGAGGGCGTTCAGGCGCACACATGAGCAGGGGAGAGAAAACAGGACGCCATTATTAAAGCTGCCTCGCTCACCGACAGAGAAGGATGAGGAGGTGGGAGGAAGAGGAGGCGGGAGGGGTGGAGGTGGGAGGGGTGGAGGTGGGAGGGGTGGAGGTGGGAGGAAGAGGAGGTGGGAGGGGTGGAGGTGGGAGGAAGAGGAGGTGGGAGGGGTGGAGGTGGGAGGGGTGGAGGTGGGAGGAAGAGGAGGTGGGAGGGGTGGAGGTGGGAGGAAGAGGAGGTGGGAGGGGTGGAGGTGGGAGGAAGAGGAGGTGGGAGGGGTGGAGGTGGGAGGAAGAGGAGGTGGGAGGAAGAGGAGGTGGGAGGGGTGGAGGTGGGAGGAAGAGGAGGTGGGAGGGGTGGAGGTGGGAGGAAGAGGAGGTGGGAGGGGTGGAGGTGGGAGGAAGAGGAGGTGGGAGGGGTGGAGGTGGGAGGAAGAGGAGGTGGAGGTGGGAGGAAGAGGAGGTGGGAGGGGTGGAGGTAGAAATCCTAATAAAAACATGATGAAAGCAGAAGCTGCTGACGTCATCTCCCTCTCTGCTCGAGACAGAGGGACGAGGGCTCCGGGAACGCAGGAACCACCGCTCCGGTTCCGCTCTCCTCACGTTCACACGTTTACGTCCTCAAACCTACAAATAAACACTGAACTAGCAACTTGTTTAGAAACGTCAAACTGATGTTTTTATTTAATCTTGGAACCTACAGCCGACATTTATTACTGAATCAACGTATTTTAACCTCAGTACTAAAACTAAAACCACGTCTGAGCCTTACTTGGACCAGCTGCTGCTCTAGTCTGGCTCTGGTTGGTTTTTGTTATGAAAGCTCTGATTTGAACGGGTTTAAAGCTTTGTGGTTACGGGTTCGGGTTAGTTCTGGTCTGGATGTGATGCGCTGGCTTGTTGTCAGCACGCGGCAGCAGAAAGCTACTAAAGACAAACCAGGAGGCTGAAAGCTCATCAGGAGGAAAGCGTGACGTAAAACCAACACGTTTGCAGGTAACAGGACAGATTAGCTGCATGGTGGCGCAGTTGCTAGCACCACTGCCTCGCAGCAAGAAGGTTGCAGGTTCGAAACCTTTCTGTGTGGAGTTGCATGCATGCATGGGTTTCCTCCACAGATCACAACACGCCCTATAGCTTAACAACTGTACGCTTTGGGAAAAAAAAGCGTCTGGCAAATAAATCAACACAAGCATCTTCAGTTGTACGTGTGAAATGTCACAAGACGTCAAAATTAGAGGAAAACACGACGTCACATCAGTAGAGCTGTAAAACTGATGTTCTTCACGCCTTAACGATGTTTTTCTGTTAAATAAACAGAAAAGTGTTTTAGAGTTTTATCTGAACACAGATCAGTGATTAAGTCCGGGTTTGGGTTCAGGCGTGATGAGGACTTGTCTGATCGTCTGACTCAACTGAAAACGATGATTCTGGAAGTAAAAACTTCCACATTTAAAGTCCGCTAGAGCGAATCGGTTCATGGGCAGAAGGTCGGATTTTGTTGCTGTTGTTGAATCGCTGTTTACTAAATTTTATGAGCAAGTTGTTTAGATCGTCAGTCAGCTTCTCGTCAACGTTAAACCGTCTGAAAGCTCATTTTATCTCTAATAAAATGAAATTGAGGTAAACAAGTGCTGCTGTTTATATAGATGCAGTTTATTAAAACAAAAGTTTAAAAAAATACTTTAAAGTTTGAACTTAAGTGTTAAATCAAAGACGGTCTGGCTGTGTTGAGTTCTGCAGGAACGAATTCAAACAGAAACGAAAGCATCTGACTAGCTTTAGCAGAGGAGCGTTTACCCTTACCGAGTCAGCATCAGCTTCGCCTCACGGAGCAGTTTCTCAGAATAAAAACAGCTGATGTTGTCCTTTGTTGTTACGTCAGCCGCTTAAAGAGAAAGTCACCCCCAAATAGACTTTTTTTTCCTGATAAACTATATAAATGTGTGTCTAATCGTGCTGCAGACACGTGTAGTCAATAGTTTTGCACTTTAGTGCAGTTTTGTTAAAATTTTAATTTTCTGCCTAAAACTGTCAGTGTTGTGCCGTTGTCAGGTAAAACTCTGCACTGCATTTGAATTTTAATCTGTCATCGCTATTGGCCCTAGAATGTTAGCTGGTACCATATGATGTCACAATGTCATTGTGAGCCTGTCGCTGTGTCTCATTTCAGGGTCTGCATTAGGGATGGGTACCTTTGACATTTGAATCGATTCCGTACTAATTCCCGGTACCTAGGAATCGATACCGGTACTTAACGGTACCAATTTTTGATACTTTTGAGTGTTTATTATTTTAATTCTCTTTTATAATTAAATATATATTTTTCTCAATATATAACCATATTTGATAAATATCGCGATAAATAACATACAACTGTTTGTATTTTAACATCGTCCTTGTAGTTTTATAAGCTGATAATTAAACTGAAGCAAACATCTTTGCTGTGAACTAAATTTTCTGTGTATCTTCATTCCTTTTACCGTCTTTTTTCATTTGATTTTTCCTACTGGGAAGTTAGAATTTCCGAGGAGAAAGCGAACGCACCATTAGCTGATAACAATGGTGGCAATGGAAGCTAACATATCAAGCTAACATTATCTTAAACATTTTATTTACCTACCGGAGCAGATTAAGATGAGGATGTCTCACTTAGATCGTTGTCGCTGGTTTCATCATCACCCAGTTACCCATCACATTTAGTGAAGTGGACCCAAGCGTTAGCGTGCGTTCTTTCTACCATGCTGCTCTGTTTACAACTGGCTCGCAGCGACCGACGACATAACACTCTTGCGCATGCGCAGCTGTCTTGGCACGTTCTCGTTATGAAGGACGGGTACCGAAACGAGGCACCGTTTCAAATGACGTGAATCGGTGCTCGGTCGGTACTGTGGAATTCGGTCGGTACCTTAAAAAGTACCGAATTAGGTTCCCATCCCTAGTCTGCATGCTACGTCGGCCGGATTCGTCGGCCGGTTAGGTCACAGCGCCGCGACTAGGCCTGTCCCAATTCGAAGACTCCTTCAAATGCGGTCGACGAATCCGGCCTTCTTTTCGCCTGTATGAAGAATGGGTCCAGTGTATCCTTCAGTGGTTTACATTTCCCAAGATGCCTTGCGTGCCGGACGGCAGAACTTTTAAAAACAATGGCGGACAGTGAAGCGGGAGCTGTCGGAGAGGATTGCGCAAATAAATGTCAGCATAAACTTGAACTGTTAGGCTAAGGGCTTTCTCTGATACATGAACGTTATTTTAGTTAGAAATGTTACAGTAAAAGTGCTTGTATCGCGGTCTCGGCTCGTATGTTCGGCCGCTCGGTGTCGTACTTCTCCCGCTACGTTTTCCCCCTGATTTTAATAGAAGTTTGTATTTTAGGGACAAAAGAGAAAACCAGGGAATTTATTAAGCTTAGGGCGGAGATGGACCACATGATCACCGGAGCTAAGCATTCGGCGGCTGTGGCATGGAGGTACAACAACATCTCATATTTTAAAAACTCGTTTGAGTTTAGTTTTTTCTGCGAAAACATGAAAGGAATAACCCGTTGTCCTCTTTTCTCTTCCTGTTTCTTTTCTTACATGTTTGTTAAGACTATTCTGGAGAAGATGGGCATCATGGGGAAGGTGACAGCGATGACCAGCTTCTGGAGCTGATCAGGGAGGACATGAGGCTGCAGAGGGAGGCAGAGCAGCAGAGGGCACAGGAGAGAAGGGAGAACTTTGACAGCTTTTTACTTTGCTAGAAAAAATGGTTAATAAAGATTAAACGTGTACATATAAAAGAAATATCTAAATAAAATCAGTTCTGTATTAAACTCTTGAATTTTATTTTTGTTTACAAATGAGAATTGTTTACTAGAGGGTATCCGCTGGGTCTTAAAGTCTTAAAAGATGATAAATCGGTTTGGGTCAAATGAAGACCCTTAGAAAGTATTAAAAACTATTATCACATCTTTGCTCAGGCTCAGCGTGCCGAAGGTATTTTCTCTGAATTAGCTCAAGTCCATACTTACGAGAGGACCAGCATTCAGACATGAACTCTGTTTGCTTCAAAGCCAGACAGGACACGGAAAAAATAAAAAGACGCGCTTTAAACAAGTTAACAGCTTCATTCTGTTACCATCAAGTCCCATTAGACAAAGAAACGTTGTTCATTTAAAAACAGACAACTCCTCTAATTTGATAATGAACTAAAAATGAGAATTTTAGGTGATAAATTTTAATAAACAAAGACAAAAGAAAGAGTTATGACCCAGACTTGATGTTTAACCTGCTACATCTAAAGAAAATAAACTTTTTATAAGAACCCGAGTTAAGAACCGTCAGAGCAAGAAGTCACGATCGGACTGAAAGAATAGATGGAAAACGTTTTAGCATCAGAAAAACCGTGAGGACGATAAAGGGACGGTTCTTACCAGGATGGCTCTAAAGACGGTGGAGCTGATTCCATCTGCAACCTCAAACTCGCCCTTCTCATTGGGTCGGGTGAAGTTGTTTTCCCGCCCGGAACCAAACATCCTGACAACGGTGGAACCATCAGAAGTCAGCAGTGGCAAACAAGTGCCTGTCAACATTAGGCTCTCCAGGAGGGTATGAGAGATGGCTCCGGATGCTCACCTGCCCAGCATGGTGTTGGGTTGAGCTGTGAAGACAGCAGGGTCCACCACAAACCTGGTGTTGTCCACAATGAGCGTAACCCTTTCTCCCAGCCGGAGCCCGGAGCGATGCTCTTTGCTGCTGAAGTCGCAAACGTAGATCATGTCTCCGGGTCCCTGGCCCACCGGCTTGGGGTGGTGGTCCTTTCCAGGAGGACCAAGGGACCGTGGTATATGTCCCCCAGTCAGAGCTCCTCCCACCTGTGTGTAAGGATGACACACCCTGGGCGGGCGTGGACTCGAGGATCGGGAGGATGATCCTCCATCACCACGTTCACGATCTGTGGAGGATGACGCACTCAGTAAAAAAACACCAATACATCCTGACTTGATGCTGTTTACGAGGGTCCGCGGGAACGGCTTCATCCCGATCTTACCGTGCTGTCGAGTCGGAGACGTGACATTCCTGATGCAGGGCGTCAGCTGGCTCTCTCCTCTCTCGTGGGAGGACTCGCGTGAACGATCGCTGGAGCGTCGCCGTTGCTCCCGGTGATGCTCCGCCCCTCCCCTCTCTCTGGTCCCACCGACGGCACCACCGCCGACACCGGCCCCATACAGACTCATGGTTCTGACCCGCTGATGCGGCGGCCGATGGTTGTGGTCCAACCCCGACAAACCACACTGCTCACTGTGCAGACGCGGGAAATCAGAGCGGGGAGACGTTTTCTAAATTAAACACCGCCGAGTAAAACTAGAGCAGAAACAGGACAGTTGTAAGGAGAGTGACAGGTTTTTATCCGGGGTTTAATAAAATATCCGACACGCTTTGATCGTATTACAGGATTACAGAACACCCCCCCGTAGCCCTGATGGAAAACTCTTCATCTCAATTTAAAGGATTTTTTCCAGGAGATGAGACGCTTTTCAGATCCTACGTGTAAAAAAACACTCTTGAAGGGTTTATTATGGCCTAGAAGAGCCCTCAGATTTCAGTCAGACTGAACTCAGACTAGCACTTAGCAAGATAACTAAAAAAGACTCCGCTGGCTGTTTTATTAAATTAACGTCCATCATCCTCATCCACGGACCTCTCACCCCCATCGCCATCTATTTACTTTTCTAAAAACTCTCTAAAGTGACGTCATTGTCTGAGGACCCACTGATTATCACCTTGGATTTGAAACATCTCACGATGGGAACGAAACCAGCTGGTTTAGCTCCGACTTCGGTACCCTGCTCGGTTTCTCTGTGATGATGAGGTTAAGCGCGGCGGCGCTCTTACGTCAGAGACGCTGCCAGGTCGAGTCTCGGTAATGAAGAGAGCCGGGCCCTCAGGGGAGGAGATGCTATGAAATATGATAATGGCCATCTTGTGTTACACCGGAGAGGAGAAACGGGAGGAGGTGGAGCGGCAGGAAGAAGAAGCTGCTCTTCTCTGCTTCAGATGGTCCAAAACTCTGTGGCTAGGTTTTTAACGGGCACTAAGCTGCGTGAACATCTTTGACCCATTCATGAGCTTTAGCTGTTGCATCGTGACCTGCTGATACTTCTGCAGGTGAACCGTGGGCCCAAAGGAGGCGGAACCTTCTCATTTCTGGCCCCTGAGCTGTAGAACGAGCTCCGGTTGGATGTCAGCTGAACGGTGGTTGTTTTTGATTCTGTAATTTGGGTTTGCCTCTGTGGGTGCCGTGATGTTTTCGTTTGCTGCGTTCAGCACTTTGGGTGCCTTTTGGCTGCTGAAAGCACTTTTATAAATAAAGATGCGGCTGCTCTACATATAAGAAATCGCACACGATAGTTTTATTTTACCAGAACTTTTGGATTGACAACCAAACTAAAATACAGAAACTTTCATTTGTTTGAGTTATTTTCATTCTCTGTGTGAAAGTAAACTCTGGACAGCTCTGAGGGACGGTAACGTTGGCTGCCATCAGCGTGCAGGATGACTGCTGCTGAGGGGACCGTCTGGCTAACAGATTGATCGGTGGCTAAACGGTAAACCGTCCGAGTGGGCCGACCCAGACAAGAGTCATGGGACGGACCATGATGTAGCAGATCAGGGGCTCACGGCAATAAAGAGAAACGCCACGAGGTGACTGCGCACCTTCGTCCCACCCTGTCAAGGTCACACACTCATGTCTGTTTAACAGCCTCCCACTTGTCCTGCAACAGAAGACGTCATCTTATGGACAAAACAAAAATAACCTTGTAAAGATAGAAGAAATCAAAGTATCAAATCTAAAAACACACAAATGAACAGAAAAACAAAGAAAGCTGAGTTCATTCTCTTTGCTTTAGTCTTTTAAAATCAAACATGGTTCTCTGCCAGTGTCCTTAAAGGTGGGGGTCAACAAAGGAGGGAATGTGCACAAAACTGACACGCACCTCGTCATCCGACTCGATGTGTTTTCAGGTGACAGGCACAAAAAGGTGCCACCAGAAACGAAAACGTACACGGGATATTTAAATCGTGTTAAATCTGTACGAATATGGTAATGTGGCCGGTTATTATTGTAATAATGAGGCTGGTGCATCCCTCTGAGCATAGACACAGATTTTTCCCCTCCAGTAGGCTTTTAATGCTTGGCAGAACTGGGCCAAGACAAATAAAAGAGGGTCTTCCAACAAGCGGGCTGGCAGCGAGAAGCCTGGCCAGCGGAGTGGAAGGAACAAAGGAACTGAGGAGGTAATGTTTCACTCAGGGCAAGCAGGTCTTCTCATCTTTCACAAGACAACACAAATCTACAGCAGCCAAGATCTCACACGGCCAGAATCCAATGAATGGTTCCATGATTCTCAATACAAGATGCCAAACCTAACGGCGTTAAAACGTCCCTTTTCTTCTAGCTCATGGAGCTTCTGACATCTGTGGATGTGGGTTTGATGGGTTAAAATGGTAGAAAGACATCAGACTTATTTAAGACGTGAAGCACCCTGGCAGTCTATTAAAAGCAGGAGGTGAGAGCCACGAGTGGTGAGGGTCCAATCAATTATTTAGGGGTAGCTGACACTGTCACAGCGCTGGGTAAAAGCAGGAGAACTGCAGAGTGGCAGCAGCGTGAGATGAAATCAAAAGAGCCATGAACACGAGGAGAAAACCGCCAATTTGTGACAAATCTAATATGAAAACTATACAAATCAAGCCGGACTCTGAATATCGTGCATTTAAAACAGCAAAACAATAAAGCCCCGTCAGGAAAGGGGACCCACTTGATCATGTTTATTAAAATGCCAAATAAAAAACTAAAGATGCGTCCACTAACAGCGGCCGCTCTCCGGGGCACTCGCACCTACCGGTCGGTATCGGAGGACCAGGAGAAGACAAAGCAGCAGGGCACGAGCTGCGGGACGACAGCGGCACAAAAGCTTTGCGCTCCTCCGAACAAAGCGGGCTTGCCAGCAGTTTCAGCATCCTCGCTCATTACTCTCCAACTTCCTCCGCATCGTTCGACCCTCGCGACCCGGACTCTGGCCGGTTTCAACAAATCCCCCAAAGCAAAGCCCACCGCTGAACAAAGACGAGGGCACGCGCTCCGGCTTGTCATTCAGAGTCACCTGAAACTGTGAATGGCCGCGTGCTCGAGTGAATCAGAGCGGCGGTGCCTTCACTGTGCCTCGGAAAGTGCCGCTTCGCAGTGTTCGGTTGCGGTTTCGTTATAATATCCTGACTTATTCCGCGTGATTTCTCTCCGGACTCCCAGTGAAAATCCAAGTAAAATCTCTAACAACATCATCTATTTCTAAAAGTAAAGAAATGAGCGTAACCGTCAAGTACAACCACACATGCATTTAAAATATAATTAAAACCATAAAACTCTGTTTTAAACTGAGTTTGTAATATTTTCATCACTCAACCGCCATTCTAGTGTCACATGAAGCACCCTGAAGCGCACAAACGGCCAAGAAACCGGTTACAACATCCCATCTCCTTTTCTCTGTTTCATACAGCCATTAAGCCTGCTTTTAACCTATAAAAACCTCAACATTTACTACACAAAATAAAAGCAGCATCTGTAATTAAACTTAATCAGTGATTCTATTTGCAGGAGTGTTTCATCGTTATTAGTACACTCATTTAAATATCTAACGAATAAAGATTTAACCAAATATTGACTACTGATCCAATCCGAACGCCAAGCGTTTTAGAGGAATATGCTCATTTGTTGTAATTCATTATTAGTTTATCACAAAGGAACCTTATTTGCACTCATTTCTTCAAATTAATCTGTGAAACTGCCAAATATTACAGCGTTGCACTTTTAATTCCAGAACAAAAAACAACTAATTTGTTGGGGGAAAACTGCAGCAACAGAAGTTTTATTTATTTTTGACTTTAAATCGAAACAGAATAAACTGAGCATAAATAGAGCAAGTCACCCCCTGCCAGAGTATTACTCCTCTCCCACTTTGTGTTTGAAAAATGCAACAAATGCTGTTGCCTAGCAGACCGAGCTGCTAACAAATACACACACACACACACACAGGCTCACACACACACACAGGCTCACAACGACATTGTGACATCATATGGTACCAGCTAACATTCTAGGGTACCTCTAAAGCCTGATTCATGCTTCTCCGTCAGCTCCGTAAGGGAGAGACACGCACGGATTGACGGAAGCGTTTTGCTTTCATACTTCTCCCGTCTCCTGGGGAGTGTTGCAAAGCAATTCCCCGGCAGGACAGCAGAGGGCGTAGCGCTGTTCTGTGGTATCCTGTCATGTATCAGTCCAAGATCGTGTGTTTATATTGTGTTTTTGTATACAAGAGAATTTTTAACACAGACAAATTTGTCTCTCATCCTCGTACACCTCTTCATGCGCTCCCCACCTCTAAACCCACGTTTCCTGTCATTTCCGTCCACAAATAAAACGCTTGCTGCGTATCTTTTCACTCCTCCAGTCACGGGGGAATTAAACGTTCATATTTTTAGAGTTTTTTCACGAGGTATTCTTCAAGCTTCTCCGTGTCTGCTGCTAGTTATCCTCGGCTCTCTTTGCAATGGCGGCGCTGTAAACAACAGCGGCGTCCTGACCAATCACAAGCTTGCGTAATCCGTCTCGTTCGACGGATGTTTAAAAAAGTGGGCTCGACTCCGTACGTACTTGCGTGCCTGCCGGAGCCCTACGCAAGGACAGGCAATGGCGTTGCGTGTCTCCGCGCTGACGCAGACGGAGAAGCATAAATCAGGCTTTAGCCAAAAGCGATGGCAGATTTAAATTCAAATGCAGTGCAGAGTTTTTACCTGACAGCAGCTCAACACTGACGGTTTTAGTTAGTAAGTACAAGTTTATTTATAAAGCGCCTTTCGCAGATATGAATCACAAAGCGCTGTGCAACATGAGTAAAATCAGGGCAAATACCTCTAACTGATAAAAACAGATGTAAAAAAAACAATAGCAGTGACAAAATTGTAAACAAAATCAGGAGTAAAAACAAAGTCAAGGTATGAACAAAGACAAAGCCATCTTTCAGAATATTTAGCGGGGGAACGCCTGGATTTTAGGCAGAAAATTCAAATTTTTACTAAAATGCACTTAAGTGCAAAACTATGGACTACACGTGTCTGAAGTACGATTAGACACGCATTTATATAGTTCATTAGAAAAAAAAGTTGATTTGGGGGTGACTTGCTCTTTAAAGAGCAGCTAACATAGAGTCTACATAATTTCGATAAGGCTTAAGAAATGCAGACAGATATCAGTGTGGTCCTTAGAAAAATTTCCAGCCGTGGCGTGCGCGTGGGCCGTGGGGGGTGTTAGGGTGTACATCCGCAGAATGTTTTGCTGTTGTGCGTCGGCCGTAAGAGTGAGGAAGGGGATAAAGCCTAGTTTATGCTTCTGCGTCAGCTCCACAAGGGAGAGACGCACTCACAGAGACGTTTAGCTCTCAGACGTCTCCGTCTCCTGGGGAGTGTCGATGAGCAATTCCCCGCCAACAGACAACAGAGGGCGTAGGGCTATGCTGGGGTATTTTGTCATGTATCCTGTCCAAGATAGTACATTTACTATTGTTTCTTTGTATTTCAGATACTTTTTAACATGGACAAATTTGTCCCTTTTCTCCTCCCCCTCTAAACCCATGTTTCCCATCATTTTTGCCCACAAATAAAACACTTGCTGCATATCCTTTTACTCATCCATTCACGGCTGAATAAAACGTTTATATTTTTTTAGTTTTTCCACAAGGTATTTTTCAATCTGCTATATGTCTGTCGCTAGGTACCTTCGGCTTACTTTGTTTTTGAGGGCGCAATTGCGAAAGCAGCGTCTTGACCAATCACAAGCTTGGACGTTTTGAAAAGTGAGCTAGACTCTGTCAGTCCTTACGAGGGCTCTCCATCAGGCTTGCAAGAATGGATAATGGCGTTGCGTGTCTCCGTACTGACGCAGAAGCATAAATTAAGCTTGATAGTTGTGCGTGGAACATTTTGCTTCTGATTTTGTAGCCGTGGCTAGAATTTCCTAGCCTATGTAGGGGAAACACTGGACATATTTGCAAAGACCAGTCAACAAAAGTGCTGAAGCGTTATAAATCCACAAGGAATAAGCATAAAAACTAAAATTTAAATAAACTATCATTAAGTGTCCCAAATAATTAAGCTGACCCAAATTATTAATATCACTCAAATTAAAGTATTCTCATTCCAACCATTTGGGATAATAGACAATTGTTTTACACAATAAAAATCAATGATTATACTCATACTGAGTAGTCTGAGTAGATTTTAGATACATCATATACGTTTATGTTTTGAATATTTTAAAATGTTAATTTATACAAATGGTATTGTGAAGTTCTGATAAAAGTTTTTATTTGAACTGGTATTTCTATAGAGATCTACAAAACTAGACAACAATAATAAAACATACTTTCATTTACTTTGATAATACTGGAGATTTTGGGACGAGTAAAAAAATGCGACGCTAGAATCACGTTTAATCTAGATTAAATACCGATTAGGATGAGATGTATCTGGACGGTTTGAATGTTAATTCCAGCAAACTGATTTGCCATCTCCAAGTCCTCCTGACACGATGTAAGCAACTAAATTTAGACAACTGTATCTACTCTAGCGTTTAAATTGACAACCATGGAATTTACCAGTGCTATGAAATATAACAAAGGATTTTAATCGTTTAGTTAGCAACCTAGCTAACCATAGCCGCTAGGCTGCTAACTACAGCAAGCTGCGCTCTTAAACTGTAATTTAAAACGTTTTATATCTACCTCCTTGCGTTACATTTCGTCTGATGTTTCACCAAATCACAAAAAATCCGTATATGCGAGAGAAGAAGTAAGGTGACTCAGGAAAAGAGATTTTGTGGAGATTTCTCCCTTACATCCACTGCTAGCAGATTTGTTTTGGTCTGAGAACACGGAGATCACGCGGAAAGTCTCGCGAGAACACCACCTACAATGGTGTTCTTACAAATGCAGATACAAATATTCTTATTCCTTTTTATTCACATCTTTAAATACAGAAATAATCACAGAAATAATTATAATAACAATTTACAACATTAAATACAAATCTGCTCAGCTTAAAAAGCAAAACAGCTTTATACTGGCATTGTCAAACATATAAAAATAAACCTTTTTCATATTGTTGAAATGCAGAGGATATTAGGAAACCCAGCGGAAGCTAAATACGTTTTAGCATTTTTACGCTGATATTGCAGGTCAAATATTTACACAAACAATGGAAAATGTAGCTGATAAAGCAGGCTAATACACCTAATGAGCCCTCCAACAGGGGTTTGTCCCCCCAAAAAAAGGTTAAAAAAAGTCACAAATGGTCCAATTTGAACTTTCTCCTTCATGATGGTTTTACACCAAAACCTTTTTAAATAACAGTGCATACATGTTGGTTTGCCAAGCAGAGGCATAGTCTCATAAATATGCATTTCATAAATAATTAAATAAATAGGATTTAAAAACAGAAGTTAAAATAAAAGAACACAAAGATGCGAAACGTTTATATAGAATCTAAAAAAGAGGGAACAAAAGAAAATGGTCTTAAAATAAAAATATTCAGTGTTGGAAATGTTGCTGCTACTGTCAAGATTCCCAATAAAATCTCCACAAATTCAGGACTGCTTTGATTCGAGGAGCTTCTCAAAGAAGTCTACAGCTTGTTGGATCTCCTCTGATGTCAGCTCACCCAGCTCCGACAGCTCCTCGGGACGCAGCCTCCTGCTACTCTGGATCTTGGCGTCTGCACCAATGGCCCTTGCTGCATTGTGGATGTCTTGGATCCTCATCTGCAGCCACTCCCTGCGCTCCTGCACCTGTTTGTGGTGTCTGAGGTTGTGCATGAGCTGCACCTCGCTCACCGTCCTTTTACTGCAAGATCATCAAAAAGTAAACAAATCATGACAATGTCTGGTGAAAATAAGCTATGCTTGTGATTTAAAACAGAACTCTTATTGGTCATGATGGCATTATGGATATGGAATCTTAAAAAAAAGGAGAGGGATCTTACCTTACGGGGTGTCCTTGACAGTGAATGGAGAGGTATAAAACAACGAGGAAAACACATAGGTTCTTAAAGTCCATTTTTTGGATGACCTGTTAAAAACAAAACAGAATAATAAAGTTTTATTCCTCTATTCTAATAATTATTGACAACAAAATGATCATTAACATGCAACCGTCTGATTCCCTGCCTCAAATCCAGTGAAGACGTTCAAAATTCTTAATAATTTAACCTTTTGTGTGGATTTATTTATTTTTAAACGTTATAATCCCTCCACTTCCTAAGTTACATGATCAGATATTTCACACGATCATCCAAAATGAAAGAAAATATGAAACCATGTGATTTTATTGTAATTAGCCCTGAATGTTCCATTAAACAACAGGTCGAGATGAACATACCTGTGGTGGTAGCTTCTCCTCTGTCCGATTAAAGCACAGATATAGTTGTTGTCTCTCAAGTGAGCCTGGGTTGGTGGTTAGCTCCTATTAGTTATGATAAGCACGGGTCTCCCCAAGTTCCTTTTATAGCCCCGGTGTCCAGTTGTTGATGAGTTGCTTTCATTATTGCTGTTGATGTCATACCTCCAGCCCCTAGAGGGGGCAGGACACGAATGACAACACCTCCTCTTAGCTCCAGGCTTTGACTACTGTCATACAACATCAAACGAATGGCTTTGAACCCAAATACCTTCACACGTTTTTAGATTCCATTAAACACACCCAAGCACCAATCTTAAACTTTTAGAGGAAGGTCTTAGTCATCTGTGCAGATTTCTTATTTTGATCTGTAAAAGGCCTCCAAAAAGCACAACAAAATTATCATTATCCAAAAAAAAAAAGGTTTGCAACTTCCCCTCTTTTGCACCATTTCACCATCTAATGCTAACCACTCTCCAGCTCGGTTGTTGTTCAGAACCTCTCCCACATTTTTAATCCCACATGTCCGGATTTTTCTCCCTCTCTATGTGTGTGAAGTACACAATCCCATCAGTGACCTTTGTTGTCTGATTCCTTGCATGCCTCACAACAATGGAGGCAACATTAAGATGGATTTATGACTCTCGCTGACTATGAGGGGATCTCCCAGGTTACATAGACTCTTAACTGAGGAATTAACATAGTTTTTATGAGGTTGCTTCTCAAAAAAAGAGATCTTTTATACCAACTTGACGTCAAACTAAACATCCTGAATCAACCAGCAAGTGGGGGTTTGAGAGGTGTGTCGTCGGGTGATGTCGCTGTCGTCACCATCATGGACGTGACTGACAGGTATGCAGGTTTGTCTTCATGAGAGCCACTCAGGGTCACCGAGCAACTGGAAGTCACCGAACTTTACATCTATGTGCATCGTTTATCAGACCACAGCTTCTGCCAAGCATGCTTTAGGAACAGCTTTTTAAAAATGTCAGAATCTTCCATGAAACAACCAGTGTGTAGAGGTTTGTTCGAAAACAGATTATTTTTGTTTATTTGACACAAGCAGGGAGCTATCCTGAGAAATTTTTGAAGCACTAAAACTTAATTAAATATATTATAAAATACTCACATTTCTGTTTCAAAGCTGTTTCAAAAAGTCCCTGTTTGTGACATCACAAATGGGAAAAGTAGAATAGTAGCTCTCACATGCAAGAGAGCGGCTGCTGCCAGAGGAGGTTTCCCAGATGTCGGAGCTTCTTAGCTTCTGGCAGCTTGCGGTGGATGTGACAAGTTGCAGTTTGTATTTTTAAAGACCAAGTTCACTTGTTTTTTTTTTCAACACATTTGCAGCGGCTTCTTGTATAAATGAATACCTTGTGAGTTGATCTCCGAAGGGAAAGAACTGGCGCTACTGTTTCAGGAACTAGAAGTGAGCCCAACGAGAGCTGAGCTGAACACGGGAGGTTATGGAATCTTATTTCCTGATATTTGGACATCTCGCCTGTGATTGGCTAACAGCAATGCGACTCTACCACTGAGACTGTTTGCTTTGCAACTTTGATATTTCATCTCCACAAATAACACAGGCCTGACGAAGTTCAGCCATGTTGTGGGGTTGCTAATGCTAACAGTTAGCTTCAACTAGCCAAGACATGCTCAGCTCTCTTCTGGACGCTAAATCAACAACAGCCTTCCTTGTCACGAGCCAAGATGAGTGACTCCATCAATGTTATTTGACAATTTGACATGTTCGGGCTTTTTAAGTCGCATATTTTGCTTCTATTTCAATTTGTCGGCGAACTTGCCCTCCGAGACAGAGTCCTGAAACGACTTGATCTAGAAGGTACTGAAACTGTCAGGAATTAAACTGCAGAAATCCCTTTATGTGAGAGGGATTTAGTGCAGAGAGCTTCATAAACATGTTTGGTATCAACCATAGAGCTATTATAACTTAAAAGTCTGAGGCTGACTGAGAAATCTACAATGCTTGTTCTTTTGGAAACAATCAGTCACTCTGAGTTTCACATGCATGCTGAACATTGTCTTCTACACCTGTCTCCTGCTTTTGCTGCCAAAAGAAAATAGGCGGGAAAACGGCTGAGTTGGAAAAAGTCACACATATCTGCATCACACTGTAAATTAGCATTCATGGTCTCACCCACCGTGGATTGTGACCGTGAGAGTCTGTTGTTGATTTAGCCTCCCGGAGAGAACAGAGAGTGTCGCGGCTAGACGAAGCTACAAATGAGCAAAAACAACTCTACGTCGTGCACCTTCAGGCTCCTTCAGGCTTTTATCTGTGGAGATAAAACAATGTTGCACAGCGGACAAAGGCAGATGAAGAGTCACAATGCTGTTTGCCAATCAGACGTCTGGATATTATGAATTCTAATCAGTCAGACTCGTGATCCTGTGCTTTTTCGCCCTCCACTCCTCTGACAAAACTCTACCAGCCGAAACAGACACAACAGGGCAACAAAGCACATCTGAGCCTGTGTCAGGAACTAGCAGAGGAGAGCTTAACGTGACAGAATTTGTAGTCTGATGTCCCGACATTTGCACATCTCTCCTCTGACTGGCTAAAAACAGTACACCTCTACCACAGACTCTGTTTGCTCTGCGACGTCGATGTTTTATCTCAACAAATAGAACTAGTCTGGAGGAGTTCTGCTGTGTGGTAGAGTTGCTAATGCTAACGGTTAGCTTCTACTAGCCGAGACGTTCTCTACTGTTTCCCGAACGCTAAACCAACAACAGACTTGCCCGTCGTGAGTCGAGATGGGTGAGTCCGTGAATGTTAAGCGACAGTGTGACGTAGATCTGTCAGGCTTTTCTAATCCTACGCAGGAGATAGGTGTAGGAGACTATTTTCATGTTTACCCTGCATGAAACATCAGAGTGACACATTAGAATCAGAAATAATCATTAAAAATGTTTTTTTTTTCAGTGAACCACACCTTTAAAGATTTAGAGTTATGAAATAAATACTGGAGTCTGCAACAGATATGCCCCCCTGCAAAGCCCCGCTCTCCAGTTAACAACTAAAAACATAGAAAGCTAATAGTCGTGAGGGAGATAAAGTTCTCCTGCTTTAAATAACCGACTAGTCTGACTTTTTGGGAGGACAGTATCTCGATTTTACTCAAATAATTTACCTTTTTAATTCAAAAGCTTAAGCAAACTATGCAGATGTTTCCAGATAAACTGAGAAGGAAGTGACGTCAGCGTCAGCCCAGAGGAAGTTTACAGCCGGTAAACAAAACTGTCAGCGAGGAAAAAAAGAAACCTTTTCTGTGTTTTGAAAAAGAACCAAAAATGCAGTTAGAAACTGAACACAGCAAGAACATACCAACGATGTTTAAAGAGGTGAATCAAAGAAAAGACAACAAAAAGGGATGCCAAACATTTTATTGAAGTTCTACAATCCCAACGTGAGAAAACAGATGTTTTTGCTCTCCAAACTTCTCATTGATCCGAGTTCTGGTTCTGAACTCCTCCCGCTGTCTCCACCAGTGGGAAGAGACATGAGGGCATCAGCAGAGAAAGCTGAGCGTGAGCTTATATTTCTGTTAACGTGCATTCATTCTGTTCTCAGCACGTCTTTTGTTGGAGAAGGTGACAATTAAACATCAGTTTTTGTCCTCCCGGGAAGTCAGCTGCTCCACGTGTTGGGTTGTAAATAAACGCTTGGATCGGTCAGTGAATAATTCCGTTTACATACCAACGCGACAAGATTTACGTTGATGGGTACAGCCCCTTTAGAGAAACTGACCTCCTGTGGCTCTGCTGTGATCCTTTTACAGACAACACTGGCCTCGATCTGTTGAGAGCATATCTGCTGAGCACATTAACCTCTGAACTTCACTTACGTCCCTATCTTGTCATCCTCATTACCTCATGCTTCCTAAATGTGTGTGTGGAGGGCTTCACACTGACCATTGTAGGGTGAAGGAGGAGGCAAACATGGTCAAGGTGATTTCATAAGACAGCAACTATGAAAAAAACAATACGTGAGTCCAGAAATCGTCATTCTTCCTGGTCAGAAATGAAAGAGACGGCAGGCAGGAATAAATCATTTGAGGAATGACTGGAGCCGCTGTGCTAAACGGTGCTGTCAGCAGACGAGCAGCTAGCATGTCGGGAAACATTCTGACATCCGCAGCTGCTGCAAGTCAGGTGCATCAGAAAGGGAACTCCTCACCCAGACTCCAGAATAACTAACGGAGAGTAAAAAAAAAAGAAAAGAAGTGTAAGCTGCTATTTTCAGGTTAGGCTTTTCTAGAAGGTGACACCACGTTCGAGACGAGTAACAGAAGACGGAAAAGATTCGTAGCTCATCCTTAGATGGTCGGAAGAGGATCTCCAGCTGAGTTTGAATGAATGCAACAAATTCTACAGATCTGATTCAGATTTGAAGGAAAAAAAGCAAATAAAGCCAACAAAACGTAGAAGTTTCTATAACTTCTTCTGCAGATGTGTTAAAGTAGAAGAACAAAGCAACAAAAGCAACACCAAATAGTTGTCCACATATATGATAGCTAGAGATGCAGCGATACCACTTTTTTTCAAACCGATACGATACCGATACTTGGATCTGAGCAATTGCTGATACCGATACCGATACTTCTATCACACACAAAAATGTAAGAATTGGATTACAGGTTTTATTTTCTTCTCTGCCTTCAACAGGAAAAAACTGTGAGGTAGCTAAAAAATAAAATATATTAATGGAAATGATCACAAAACTAAAATATTAGGTGAACAGAAATGAGAAGTTACAGTGAAGCCACTTACAGGCAACTGCATTGGCATCGGTTCCTGGTATCGGTTAACTTTTACCGACACCGATGCCTTGGATATCGGTGCATCCCTAATGATGACCATGGGGAGTAATTATGGACAGAAGTAGAAACCATTTCAATCCAAAACTCCTCCTAGTGGCTGGTTGCAGTATACACCTTAAGCCCCTCCCACTCCATTTAAAACAAAAGGATCATTTTCCTGGCCAAAAATAGTTTTAAAACATCACTTCTGATCAACTTTTTCCAAACGTGGTTCAACAATTGTGAGTAAAAATCAAAAAATGTTATGATTCATCTGAAGATTGATGACGAAGCTGGCGAAAAGCAACATTTTCATTTTAGTCTAGTTTTGTAATTACCATGCAAAATGAAAATAAACCTTCATTCTTGATGATGTCATGTGTGCAGACTCGCATTTCCCCGTCTTTACTGGATAAACGACTAAAAAACGCAGTCTCATTCTCAAAGGTGTATTTCTGTCCACCTGTGCAGAGTTTTCTACTCTTGGTAGACTTTCATGCACATTATTCAGAATTAAACTGTCAAAAATCACAGACATTTCCATATGACCTAACTATAGTGCATGCCTCAAAATGTATAGCCTCGTGTTATCAAGCCTAAATAATAAATTGTACAACAGATAACCACGTCTGCCTTTCATAATGGCCACTTGATGATGTCATTTTTTTTATTCTTGCATCCTGATGACAGAGATTTCATAACACATGTTTATGTAGCCAAGCTTACATGAAGGTTTAGCATCACTGCAGTAATTACAGTGTAATAGTAAGAGAGATGAGGATTACTGGCAGTTCACCTCGCCCTCCTGACCCTGCTTTCCCGTAAACTTCCTCTCCGAGTAACACAATATGATTTTACTGCCACCAGACACCAAAACACCGTTACAGTCAAAACTCTCGCCGTGCAGCTGGGAGCCGGCCAAGTTTAATTCAGCATTTCACAAATGCACCCGGCTTTTGTTAAAGCAGGAAGATTTTAGAACGTTTGGCAGAAGCGAATGCATTCAGCCCTTTGAACTGAGAACGCTTTAAAGATGAAGTAGATAGGTCCGAAATTAGCCCGGTTGACTTTTTATCAATTACGTCTATCCAGAAAAACATATGCTTGTCCTTCTACAAGCAGCGGCATAAGACATCAAATCTAATCCATTAAATTAGTCCATTTACAAGCAAAGCCACTCAAAAATGTCGCCTGACAGATTAACGAATCATGAGAACCTAACTCGTTTGAGCTCGGTTAAATGTTTTTAACAAGAAGAGGAAAACGTGCTCTCACTTGCACGCAGACTCCCTCGGGTTTGTTGTCGGCTTGATGCAGTTGCCACGGAAACAAAACTCCCCACAGCTGACAAAAGCAGCGTTGCTCACATGAGCACGGGGGCACAATTAGGGCACTGAGAGGAGGGATTATTGGGTTCTCATTACACCTCCAACATGGTGATGACTTCAGCGAGGCTCTGCAAACGGGATAATTAAGTTTTTACTTAATTAAAAAGGCAAAAGTAG